GACATTCCGTTAGACCTTAATATCGACTATGTGACCAGTGTTTCTTCCAGACTTTTTTCTCCGGAAAGGGGGGAGGCACTTGAAATTTTCGGGGGGGGGGGGGGGGGGGCGGTAGACTTTCTTCGGGGGAGGGGGGGGGGGCGGACACTGTTAAAAGTATACATTTTCTATACAAATTATATAAATTTCATTTCGTTTGGGGGGGGGGGGCGGTAGAATTTTTTCGGGGGGCTTTGCTTTGTATGTGACGGTGTGGTCGAATTGTAGAACGTTCAACTGCTAATCCGAAAGTCTCAAGTTCGGATCCCGGGCAGAGTTTCTTCTAGAAGAAAGTCTACCGCTCTCTCTAACGAAATGGAATTTATATAGAAAGTATATACTTTTACCAGTGTCCGCCCTCTCCCGGAAAATTTAGCCCCCCCCCCCTTCCGAGAAAAAAGTCTGAAAGAAACACTGATCTGTACGGCGTCCCTGAGTCCACCCAGCTCTGATGGGTGCCTGACTTACAGAGGGAAAGGAAAGACGGCTGGGCTTAGTGCTGGCCACACTATCCCTTCATATGAGAGCAGTAATTCTTCCAGACTTTTGTCTCCGGGGGTGGGGGGAGCACTTGATTTTTTCGGGGGGAGGGCGGTCAACATATTCCGGGGAGGGTGGCGGACAATGGGAAAAAAATAAATTTTCTATATAAATTCCATTTCGTTCGGGGGGGGGGGGGTGGCAGTAGACTTTCTTCGGCCCCCCCCCCCCCTCCCGAAGAGATGCCTGGAAGAAAGGAATGCGAAGTCACTGAAACAGGTGAACTCAACTTCGTCTGCCCCTTGTACCGTAAGGTTCAAAATGGTACTTTATTGTATCGCCAATGTCGAGTGATGGATCATTATGCATGGGAAACCCACGATGTCTACATCAGACTCCCAAGTAGGCCTACACACGGTGTTTCTTACAGGCAATTTTTTACCAGTGTCTGCCCCCTCCCGGAAAATTTAGCCCCCCCCCCCGGAGCAAAAGTCTGAAAGAAACACAGCCTACACGTCCCGCGCAGGAAATGGTCTCTCGCACGCATCGATTGCCCACTCTCGAGACCCAAGGAGCTATGTTATTTATATTTGCAAAACATCTCATACAACCACAGATGCATCGGTACAAGTAGGCCTATTATACAGTGAGCAGGTAAAGAATGCGTCTGTTTTATCATCCATCTACACATGTTTTTCTTTCCTATAATTTACCAACCAGAGTTTCTTCCAGGCATCTTTTTTTTTGGGGGGGGGGGGGGGTCGAAAATATCAAGTGCCCCCTCCCCCTCGGAGGAAAAAAGTCTGGAAGAAACACATTTACCAACTACGCTACAGATCGGCTACACCTGTTCTGTATGTCAACCGCAAGAATCGCAAAGTTATGAATCTTTTCCATTTGTGACACTTTTACACGTTTAGTATGCATTTTTTTTTTAAAATAATGAATTTCACAAAAAGGCTCTAATTCTACAATTCTGAAAATGCTTTACAAGATAACATTGAATAACAACCTCCTTCTTTCTAGTCCACCTTGTTAAAGGGTGAGCATTATGACGATAATGTGGTATTGATTTGTGTTCAGTAATGAATTATAAATGTCTCTTACATTGGAAAATAACTTGGAAGATTTTTTTCATACAGAATGAATCTAAATCGAATATAGGCCTCGAGATGTTTACCTTAAGGTATTATTACTATTAAATTACTAAAATGCGATTAAAAAATAAGCAATATGGTTTCTTGTTTTCCAAAATAAAAAACTTACCGGTTTCCCGCTTCACTCGATTGTATACAAATACAGCTGATAAAAATAAACGCGAAATGCCTCTTTATATTTGATAACTTTTCTTTGTCCCTGGAGATTAGCAATTGATTTTATAGTTTGTATTTGCTATCACTTTGGTTTAGAGTTTTAAGCCTTAGACCTAGATCTTCATAATGTTTTTTAAAATTATTTTATTAGTTTGAAAGAGTACACGGAGGCGCTCTGCTCCCGTACGCCTACTGACTGAGTCATGTGCCCAGTATTTGTTCCTGACTTTTTTCTCCGGGGGGGGGGGGGGGGCACTTGAAATTTTGGGGGGGGGGGCGGTAGACTTTCTTCGGGGGGGGGCGGACACTGTTAAAAGTACATATTTTCTATATAAATTATATAAATTTCGTTCGGGGCGGGCGGGGAAACTCAGCATGTGCCTATACTCTATACTCTATACTCTATACTTATACTATGTAACTAACTAACTATGTGACACTAGATCTAGATCTATGTCCGGATGTTGGGAATTTGCAAAAAGCGAAATGGTGAGGCGGTAAACTGCAAGAAGAAAATGCGAGACATAGCTGCGGAATCACGGGTAAACAGCGAGACACAGTTTGCGAAAAAAATTGTTTCGTGTTATTTTGGTTGTTTTTTTTTTAGTTATAATATAAACTAAAGAAGCTGATATATCACGAACGTTGTGTGTTGTTCTTTTTTTTTTAAATCTAGTTTGGATTTTTTATATACAGGCCCTATATATAGATTTCTATTTTAAAAATTTTTAACATCCTATGACCGCCTGCTTTCGTTTTCTTGTCAGCGGGAGAAAAAAACCCGTCACAATAGACAGGTCAGTAGTATGAGTTCAAAAAGAGAATATAATTAAGACTATCTTTTAAAAATCTATATCTAGATATTCAAAATTCTAAGCATTGTCATACGCTTCTCGCCTGTTCAAGTTTTCTACCCTGCTCGAGAAAAAAAAATGAACTACTTTTTGAGGGGTCACAGCCAGTGCATATAAAAACTTAAACATAGGTCGGTATACATTTCAAGCTGTCCCACTTTTACTTATTAAGTCTACATCGTGGCAAGACACTGCGCGACCTTAATATCATGCTACCTTGTTTTTTTTTCAGGGGAAAAAGTATACCCACATGCCGTAACGTCATTCAAGGCCAATATCTCGGTGAATTATTTTTAGATCCATTTTAATGAGTATACAGTTCTCCCCCACTTCTCCACCGCAATTTAAAAAAAATTACTAACGCGTTTGGAGTCAAAAGTGTAACATTTGATTCAAGAAAGGGAGTGGGAGGTATTGAAACAACGCAGTTGTTTCTTTAATAGTAAAAATAAATTATATAGGAAATTTATAATCTCATTACTTAATTAATTAGTTCATTTAATTATTGCTATAGAAAATAGTTTAAATTTATTAAGGCACAACACTATGCGTGTGGCCTGACCTAAAAATTATATATATTGTTTTGTATTAAAACAAAAATTACGGTGTGGTTGAGTCGGTAAAGCTCATGGTTGCTAAACCAAAAAGTCTTGAGGTCGAACCCTCGGGCAGATGAGGCTCGTTAGCTGGGGACAGTCACTCTTCTAGGAGAGACAACTCCAAGATCAAACAACTGCTGCCTTGTAATTTGTTCTTGGTTGGACAAAGGCTATCGGAGCAAATCCAAAAAGAAAAGCAGGCTGAAATCAGAGTCAATGGCCTCAATGGCGCGTATCCTTAATTGTGATTGAGGCATGGTCGAGTCGGCTAAAGCTCATGGTTGATAAATTCAAAAAAGACTCAAGTTCAAACCCTTTGACTCTATCCCTTCCAACACTAAAAATTAAGAACAAAGAAGAAGAAGACTTTGCAACAATACAATATATGTTTGTGGCGGCAGGCGGCCTCAGTGTTCTACACAAAAGAAATAAGTTGATCTATCGTTGCTGTATTTCGGGGGTTTTGAACAAGGTGGTATTTTAAGTCGACTCAAAAGTTGGTGAAGTTGAAAATCACCAGTATGTCTTAGTCTAGCAACAGTGTAAGTAGTTAAGTGTAAACGAAACATCTTTGATGAAGTCTGCATCAAATATCACTGTAAATCTGTTGCGGTAAAATTTTTGCATCCTACCACCACCCGATGTAAATGCGAGGCAAAAATGTCACGTGACTCACAGTTTTCGCGCCCTTCTTGCAGTTTAACATATCGCCATTTGGCGTCTCGCAATTCCCCCATTTCTTATTGAATGTTATATTGATCTAGTAGCAGTATAGTCACGTAGTGACTGTAGTATAACAGTAGTGAGTTAGATCTAGATCTACGTTAAAAGAGGTTTGTAGATCTAGATCTATTAGTAGAATGATCAATACGTATTAATCAGATCTAATACTCTAACTCTAGTAGTAGCCAAGTCTAGTTAACTTTACTAGTAGTAGTAGCTAGCCCTAACCTCAACTAGCAGAAAAAAGCCTTCAACATATTTATTTTTATTATTTGGGGCCATGGACTTATACACTTATCTTAATTAACTATTTATTTTAGGCCTAAATGTAGACTAATAGTAATAGAAGTCTAGTGAAGTATAGTGGATACTGGATACAGTAGTACGTCCAGATACTAATTAAATTCTGTTCCATAACATTGCTTGTATGTCAAATTTTTCATATTTCAAAGCAATTTTCTCCATTGAAATTTTTCTCTTAATCCATTCTAGCCCCAAAAATGCCACCTTTGTTGTTTTTATTGTGTCTCATTAATAAGTAAATGTAGACCTATGTTTTATATAACAAATGTATAAAAACATAATAAAGGATGATAATTTACATTGCATTTATAGTTTAGAGTAATATTATTGTGATTACTTTATTTAAGGTTTGTAGCATAATTAAACTGTTAATCTGCATTATTGGCTAGAAAAGCAATTGTATACTCTTTCAATAATTATAATAGTTCAATCATTTTAAATAATTGTATAACAGGATAGAAGAATATCAATAGTCAATCACCAAGCACATACATATTTGTATGTAGGCCTATATACAAGTGTTAAAGATATGGTTGAAAAACATGTTCACCTGATATGATACCTAATAGAAGATTAGAGGTATTAACATTTTAAAAGACAAAAATGATTTCGCACACTTTTTATTGTTGCTATATTAATTGGTTTTATTTAACTTTTTAAAAATGTACAGGTATATTAAACACAAAACATTTGATATTTACCACTTGATGAGCTATGGGCATTCAAGGCCTGCTGCCATTTTTGAAAAAGATCCACAAACCAGTGAACATTGCAGAGTTTGAGGGCTGCACTGTGGCTATAGATGCCTACTGCTGGCTGCACAAAGGTGCATTCTCGTGCGCAGAGAAGCTCGCACTTGGAGAGAAAACAGACCAGTGAGTTGACCATTAATCATGTGATTTGTCTTGATGTGACGTAATAAATCATGTGATTTGTCTTGATGTGACGTAATAAATCATGTGATTTGTCTTGATGTGACTTAATAAATCATGTGATTTGTCTTGATGTGACTTAATAAATCATGTGATTTGTCTTGATGTGACTTAATAAATCATGTGATTTGTCTTGATGTGACTTAATAAATCATGTGATTTGTCTTGATGTGACGTAATAAATCATGTGATTTGTCTTGATGTGACGTAATAAATCATGTGATTTGTCTTGATGTGACTTAATAAATCATGTGATTTGTCTTGATGTGACTTAATAAATCATGTGATTTGTCTTGATGTGACTTAATAAATCATGTGATTTGTCTTGATGTGACTTAATAAATCATGTGATTTGTCTTGATGTGACTTAATAAATCATGTGATTAGTCTTGATGTGACTGCATAAATCATGTGATTTGTCTTGATGTGACTTAATAAATCATGTGATTTGTCTTGATGTGACTGCATAAATCATGTGATTTGTCTTGATGTGACTTAATAAATCATGTGATTTGTCTTGATGTGACTTAATAAATCATGTGATTTGTCTTGATGTGACTGCATAAATCATGTGATTTGTCTTGATGTGACTGCATAAATCATGTGATTTGTCTTGATGTGACTTAATAAATCATGTGATTTGTCTTGATGTGACTTAATAAATCATGTGATTTGTCTTGATGTGACTTAATAAATCATGTGATTTGTCTTGATGTGACTGCATAAATCATGTGATTTGTCTTGATGTGACTTAATAAATCATGTGATTTGTCTTGATGTGACTTAATAAATCATGTGATTTGTCTTGGTGTGACTTAATAAAATCATGTAACTAGACATTATTGATCTAGTTCTTTTCATTACAAAAAGTAAAACTGTACCAATCATTAAAATAAAATCCTATATTTTTCCTTGTCTTATTTCCTCAGATATGTTTACTACTGTATGAAGTACATCGACTACATGTTGAAAAACAACATCAAACCTATCCTTGTGTTTGATGGCTGTCACCTAAAGTCTAAAGCTGATGTAGAAAAGTCTAGAAGAGAGTTAGTTTCATCTTTTTCTTTGTAATTTCTTTGTATGAAAGCTATTTTTAGAGTTTGCTTTTTCTAAATTCAATGCTGCTAATTTCATATTATATTTGAACTGAGTATGGTCAGTATTTTCACAGATAATAATAGAGAAGGTTTAGTTAGTATTTTCTTGTCTGCTAGTGAAGACCTCGGATTAAAACAATTATTGTACCTATAAATGTCTTTAATTTGTGAGGATACTAACAATGGTAGCAGATACCATTTTTAACTTAGTATTTTTACAGGTTTTTTTATTTTAAAGTTTTGGTTATTCTGAGTTGGATGAAGCTAGTAGCATGTTTTTTAAAGATTTAAATGTATTGTTCAGAGTTTACCAACTGTTCTGTTTGTTCAACAATACTAGGCCTATACTGAGTTAGTGCTGGCAACAAATTGTTCCCTGAGACCCTCCTCTCACCCACACCATGGCATTAAATCCACACCCCTTACAATTGTTCACTCTAAGCTGTCATTCACTAGTTTGATGGGAAAATGTTGTCAGAGTAACAAACTTATTTATTTATATCTCCATGATTTAAATTAATCTCCAGAAAAAGAGAGCTCCATCGCAAAAAAGCTGCCCAGTTTCTGCGAGAAGGGAGGCGAGGGGAAGCTAAAGAATGTCTGCAGAGATGTGTTGACATAACCCCACAGATGGCCCTGGAACTTATGAACGTAATATCTGTTGGCATTCTTATATTACAGTTATATTACAGAGAACATTAAACGATTGCTCCTTAAGTTAATTAATGTTCTGCTTTCAGTTTTTATTTTAAATTAAATGTTTTTAAATTTTTGTATGTGTTTATGCAAAAAACCTGATTTTCTCAACTTACTTTCCCTCTCATTTCCCTGGGGAAAAAAGCGCTGCAGCCACACCTTTCTATCTGACTTGGTTTTGAGCGGCTCTCTTTATGTACTTCTTTGAAAACCCGGCAGCCCTAGCCCCATCTTCTATGGTCCTCCTCCAACATTTCCTTGACTGGCCTACTTTCCTCCTTTAACATTTCCTTGACCAGCCTACTTTCCTCCTACAACATTTCCTTGACCAGCCTACTTTCCTCCTTCAACATTTCCTTGACCAGCCTACTTTCCTCCTTTAACATTTCCTTGACCAGCCTACTTTCCTCCTACAACATTTCCTTGACCAGCCTACTTTCCTCCTTCAACATTTCCTTGACTGGCCTACTTTCCTCCTACAACATTTCCTTGACCAGCCTACTTTCCTCCTACAACATTTCCTTGACCAGCCTACTTTCCTCCAACATTTCCTTGACCAGCCTACTTTCCTCCTTTAACATTTCCTTGACCAGCCTACTTTCCTCCTCCTACATTTCCTTGACCAGCCTACTTTCCTCCTTTAACATTTCCTTGACCAGCCTACTTTCCTCCTTTAACATTTCCTTGACCAGCCTACTTTCCTCCTACATTTCCTTGACCAGCCTACTTTCCTCCAACATTTCCTTGACCAGCCTACTTTCCTCCTACAACATTTCCTTGACCAGCCTACTTTCCTCCTACAACATTTCCTTGACCAGCCTACTTTCCTCCTACATTTCCTTGACCGGCCTACTTTCCTCCTTCAACATTTCCTTGACCAGCCTACTTTCCTCCTACAACATTTCCTTGACCAGCCTACTTTCCTCCAACATTTCCTTGACTGGCCTACTTTCCTCCTTCAACATTTCCTTGACTGGCCTACTTTCCTCCTTCAACATTTCCTTGACTGGCCTACTTTCCTCCTTTAACATTTCCTTGACCAGCCTACTTTCCTCCTACAACATTTCCTTGACCAGCCTACTTTCCTCCAACATTTCCTTGACCAGCCTACTTTCCTCCTTTAACATTTCCTTGACCAGCCTACTTTCCTCCAACATTTCCTTGACTGGCCTACTTTCCTCCTACAACATTTCCTTGACCAGCCTACTTTCCTCCAACATTTCCTTGACCAGCCTACTTTCCTCCTTTAACATTTCCTTGACCAGCCTACTTTCCTCCTACATTTCCTTGACCAGCCTACTTTCCTCCTACAACATTTCCTTGACCAGCCTACTTTCCTCCTACAACATTTCCTTGACCAGCCTACTTTCCTCCTTTAACATTTCCTTGACCAGCCTACTTTCCTCCTACATTTCCTTGACCAGCCTACTTTCCTCCAACATTTCCTTGACCAGCCTACTTTCCTCCTACAACATTTCCTTGACCAGCCTACTTTCCTCCTCCAACATTTCCTTGACCGGCCTACTTTCCTCCTTCAACATTTCCTTGACCAGCCTACTTTCCTCCTACAACATTTCCTTGACCAGCCTACTTTCCTCCTACAACATTTCCTTGACCAGCCTACTTTCCTCCTACAACATTTCCTTGACCAGCCTACTTTCCTCCTCCAACATTTCCTTGACCGGCCTACTTTCCTCCTCCTACATTTCCTTGACCAGCCTACTTTCCTCCTACATTTCCTTGACCAGCCTACTTTCCTCCTACATTTCCTTGACCAGCCTACTTTCCTCCTACAACATTTCCTTGACCAGCCTACTTTCCTCCTCCAACATTTCCTTGACCGGCCTACTTTCCTCCTCCTACATTTCCTTGACCAGCCTACTTTCCTCCTACATTTCCTTGACCAGCCTACTTTCCTCCTACATTTCCTTGACCGGCCTACTTTCCTCCTACAACATTTCCTTGACCAGCCTACTTTCCTCCTACATTTCCTTGACCAGCCTACTTTCCTCCTACATTTCCTTGACCAGCCTACTTTCCTCCTTCAACATTTCCTTGACCGACCTACTTTCCCCTTCCACTTGGGATCCCAGTCTAATGTTGTTTTTTTAAGCTTATATTAAAAGTTGTTTATGCCTCTGAACATATTTAAAGTATTTTTTGTGTACAATTTGATGCAGGTGTGTCGAGACAGAGGGGTAGATTGTATTGTAGCACCTTATGAAGCTGATGCCCAACTTGCCTACCTGAACCTGAAGGGAATCGCACAAATCATCATCACGGAAGATTCTGATCTCCTGCTCTTTGGCTGTGATAAGGTAAATCTTTTTTAGGTAATGAGGTAAACTAACATCAGGTGATGAGGTAAACTAACATCAGGTGATGAGGTAAACTAACAGGCGATGAGGTAAACTAACAGGCGATGAGGTAAACTAACTTCAGACAATGAGGTAAACTAACATCAGGCGATGAGGTAAACTAACATCAGAAGATGAGGTAAACTAACAGGCGCTGAGGTAAACTAACTTCAGACAATGAGGTAAACTAACATCAGATGATGAGGTAAACTAACATCAGGCGATGAGGTAAACTAACATCAGGCGATGAAGTAAACTAACATCAGGCGATGAGGTAAACTAACATCAGATGATGAGATAAAATACAAAATGCATCACCTGTCCTAAGTCAGCACCTTACTAAAAGAATTTTCCTGTTTTTTAAAATTCATGGTTTTTAGCCTACCTTCCTTTCCAGTTATTCACCTTCATCTTTTTACTTTCTCGTATATACAAAGTATAGAGAAAGTCTTGTAATCATGCAAAAAAAAAGATAGATTTTTGCAAATCTCCACATTTTACGCCTCCCTGAGTCGGAAAAACATAGTTTTGCAATCTTGTCTGTGGGTCTGTAAACACGATAACTTGAGTACCGTTACAGCTAGGTTTATGAAATTTCATATATAAATATTATATCAAAATCGTAGATCCATATCAACTTTTGAGCGGTTTCCGATAACCGGAAGTGGAACTTTTTCTACTTTGAATTATTCAAAAGCCTATAACTTGAGTACTATTTCAGATAGATAAATGAAATTTCACATGTAAGTAAAAGATGTAATTCTCTACCTTCTTTCAAATTTTTAGTCGATTCCGTTGACCAGAAGTAGTACTTTACACTATTTCCGATTTCTCAAAAAACGCATGTGTTTCAAATTTTTAGTCGATTCCGTTGACCAGAAGTAGTACTTTACACTATTTCCGATTTCTCAAAAAACGCATGTGAATTTATAAAGTACTAATAATATTCCGCACTATTATGCACATTTTATTTGGCGTTCACTAGGTGTGCAACTCTTTTTTCTATGAGATTCTATTCTATTTTTAAAAGTTTAAGTATTTTATATGGATTAGAAATCATGTCTATATCTCGAGTTGCCATCCCCTGTTGTTTTATATAAGAATATTTGAGAAAGTTTAGGGGAGATCACTCCCGGTTTATTTCCTTTTGTGCCCAGGGCACATGGGGCAGTGTTCCCTATTATTGCACATTCAGAATTATATAAAGGAGGTCGTATACCACAAATGTAATTAAGAAATATTCTGTTATAATAATTGCTTGTTTGCTCTGGTAACTTGTTTAGAATAATTTTCTTTCTTTTGTATGAATAAATATTATAGTAGTAAAACCACTCTAACGTTTACTTATTTCAATAAACCAATTTAAAACACACAAAATTTAAACCTTGAATAGGTATTTAGGTATTATTTTATCTTTAAGATTTTCATTTCTGTTCAACTAAACAGAATGAAAAGTGAATCACTACCCTTAACCTGACACTGACAATTATAACCTGACACTGATAACACTGTCAGTTATAACTGTCACTGTCACTGTCAACTATAACTGTCACTTGTTGCAGGTCGTATTCAAGATGGATTTCTATGGGAATGGGACGCTGATAGAGAAAGCCAGACTCAATGAAGTTTTATCCATGCAAGGGGGATGTTACACTTTTGAGAAGTTCCGTCACATGTGCATTTTGTCTGGCTGCGACTACCTGTCATCACTACCTGGGATTGGCTTGGCCAAGGCGTGTAAAGTCTTCAAGACAGCCAGACAGCCGGACATAGCTCTGGTAGGGTTACACCATTTGTCCTTAAGACATCTGTCTTAAGGGATTACACCATTTGTCCTTAAGACATCTGTCTTAAGGGATTTCACCATTTGTCCTTAAGACATCTGTCTTAAGGGATTACACCATTTGTCCTTAAGACATCTGTCTTAAGTCCTTAAGACATCTGTCTTAAGGGATTTCACCATTTGTCCTTAAGACATCTGTCTTAAGGGATTACACCATTTGTCCTTAAGACATCTGTCTTAAGGGATTACACCATTTGTCCTTAAGACATCTGTCTTAAGGGATTACACCATTTGTCCTTAAGACATCTGTCTTAAGTCCTTAAGACATCTGTCTTAAGGGATTTCACCATTTGTCCTTAAGACATCTGTCTTAAGGGATTACACCATTTGTCCTTAAGACATCTGTCTTAAGGGTTACACCATTTGTCCTTAAGACATCTGTCTTAAGGGATTACACCATTTGTCCTTAAGACATCTGTCTTAAGTCCTTAAGACATCTGTCTTAAGGGATTTCACCATTTGTCCATAAGACATCTGTCTTAAGGGGTTACACCATTTGTCCTTAAGACATCTGTCTTAAGGGATTACACCATTTGTCCTTAAGACATCTGTCTTAAGGGATTACACCATTTGTCCTTAAGACATCTGTCTTAAGGGATTACACCATTTGTCCTTAAGACATCTGTCTTAAGGGATTTCACCATTTGTCCTTAAGACATCTGTCTTAAGGGATTACACCATTTGTCCTTAAGACATCTGTCTTAAGTCCTTAAGACATCTGTCTTAAGGGATTTCACCATTTGTCCTTAAGACATCTGTCTTAAGGGATTACACCATTTGTCCTTAAGACATCTGTCTTAATGGATTACACCATTTGTCATTTGTTTAATTCCGCTTATAGTTGTAGGTACACTGTCTTAAGGGATTACACCATTTGTCCTTTGTTTAATTCCGCTGAGAGATGTAGGTACACTGTCTTAATGGATTACACCATTTGTCCTTAAGACATCTGTCTTAAGGGATTACACCATTTGTCCTTAAGACATCTATCTTAAGGGATTACACAATTTGTCCTTAAGACATCTGTCTTAAGGGATTACACCATTTGTCCTTAAGACATCTGTCTTAAGGGATTTCACTATTTGTCCTTAAGACATCTGTCTTAAGGGATTACACCATTTATCCTTAAGACATCTGTCTTAATGGATTACACCATTTGTCATTTGTTTAATTCCGCTAATAGTTGTAGGTACACTGTCTTAAGGGATTACACCATTTGTCCTTTGTTTAATTCCGCTGAGAGATGTAGGTACACTGTCTTAATGGATTACACCATTTGTCATTTGTTTAATTCCACTGATAGATGTAGGTAAGGTACTCTGTCTTCAGACTTGTGCTTAGTGTTGCTGGTTTTTTGTTTGATTGTGAATTTTGCCAAGAACTCAAAATGTATAATAATTATATTCAATGCAACTATATGAAAATTTTTAGGAGGTTGGCATGGTCAGGTTGGTTAAGCTCATAGTTACTGGACTGAAAAGTCCCGAGTTCGAACCCCCAGGCAGATGAGGCTCAATAGCTGGGGACAGCAACTCATCTAGGAGAGAAAACTGTAGTTTGTTTTTGGTTGGACAAAGGCTATTGAAGCAAATCCCAAAAGAAAAGCAGGCTGAATCTGTGGCGTATAACAAGTTGACTTGTGATACTTAATTGTGTTACAGGGAATCCCTTCCAACACTACAATAAAAAGCAAAAATGCAGTTAATTAAAAAAAAAATTAGTAATAACCCTAAGTATTGTCTGGTTAATGCTTGGTGGACATGTGTTTGTCTAAGTGGACTTTGTGACAATGCTATGGTGGATACATTAGTGTTATTTTAACTTTAACGGTGTGCCCCATAGTACTGATTAGCTACAGCACATTACTGCTGAGTCCTACCTTTGTTGTTACACAGTGTGGTCAGGTGGTAGTGTGTGTGACTGCTAGCCAGATAGTCTTGAGTTCAGATCCCAGACTCAAGTCTGTAGAATGTCCCTGAGTCAACCCAGCTCTGATGGGTACCTGACTTACATTAGTGAAAGTAAATGCTTGGAGCTGATCACACTATGCATTATTATACAGACTTAAGTCTGTAGAATGTCCCTGAGTCAACCCAGCTCTAATGGGTATCTGACTTACATTAGTGAAAGTAAACGCTTGGAGCTGCTCACACTATACATTATTACACTGAGCTCACAGAAACGGATGAGCTCTACTTCATCTGCTCTTGTAGTCCAAAAGACCATTGGTAATCACCTCCATAGCTTTGATTTATTATGCCCCATTACAGCATTGCCCTACCTTTGTTCCTCCAGGTACTGAAGAAGTTACCCAGCTACCTGAAGATGAACCTGACAGTTACACCTGAGTATATTCAAGGCTTTATCAAAGCTGAGAACACTTTCCTGTACCAGCTTGTGTTTGACCCCATCAGCAGAACACTTTGCCCTTTGAACCCTTACCCTCCTGAGATCAAGGTCACGGAACTGGACTATGCTGGAGAGTATCCTTGTATTACAGCTATAATTAGCAACACATTTAATTTGTTTATGAATATGAGTTTTTAATCCATTATTTTGTTTCCTTTTTAAAGAATACTGCTAAATGCATTCTTAACTTTAAACTTTAGACTAACAGTGTTAACAAAATTCCAAGAAATTAACAGAAGCATATACTTGTGTTTTTCCTGAGGTTTTTTTAATGATTTATTTTTTGGCCTGTTTGATTCTTAACTAAATGTTAACAAGATATCTGCCTGAAGAAAAAGCCTATCAAATTGCACTTGGTAACATTGACATCCACAATCATCAGTGTATTGCATTTTTCGACCCTGACAGATTTGAGGTACATTTTTGTTGTTTTTATTGCTATTTTATTTTTATTTCTGATACAATTTTCATTGTTAAATCTGTAAAGGTCACAATTTTATTAAATCTTACATAAAATGTTTTATTTTGAGTTTTTTAAAATTATTTTTAGCCAAAGCATGCAGCCAAACCAAAATATAGATACCAGCTAAGTATCTGGGACAGGAATTACAGAATCAAGGGTGGGTCTCCATGTAAACAGATTCAAGACGTACCGAGGCCTTCCTTACATGACAAGGAACAAACCGTCAAAGTTAAACTCCTGAAAAAAACTCCGGTCAAGCGGCACAGAGAAAGTGAGTATTGAAGATGATTCTTTTTTTATTTAACCACAACTATGTTTAGCTGAATTCTTTGAACACAAACATAAAAAAAAAAAATTTTTTCCTAAAATTTGATCTAGACATTTAATCTGTGTTATCTAGGTCTGGTGGTATGTATTTACAGCAACTCAAGAGCCTTACCTTGTATAGCTAAATTAAGCCCATTTAATATGACTCTTAAAATAATACCGCCTACAAATTGGAATTCTCTCTAAATATTCCAGTAACGCCTCATTCACTTCAAGAGTAGTTGTGTAATACATTTGTTATCAAACTATAAAGGCATGGGCTCATATTTTGTCTTGTTAGGATTTTAACCCACATTGTCACACTGTTAAACCTAACATTAAACTGAGTTTAGTCAATATTCTAAATGTAATTTTGTTATTTCCAGTTTCTATAGCGCCCGATCAGAAAACAGATGAAGAACTTGTTTCCTTATATAAAAATGCTGAGGAAGAAACAACCCCTGACGCTAAAAGAGTCAAAATTGCTTTGTTCAGTGAGAAGGACGAGTTGTCTCAGCAGGAGAATCAAGAAAACACAACCTTGCCTGTGAAAACAATGTCACCAACCAAATCTTCATCAGGTCAGATGTTAGAGCAAAGGTCACGGCATGGTGACCCAGATCAGGACATCGAGCCAGCTGTAGTAAACAAAACAAGAACACAGGAAGGTGCCAGTAGAAAATCTGCTGCAAACATTGGAGATGACGCTTTCAGGACAAACAGTGCAGTGGTGACTGATATTAACCCTGCGCTGACCCCAACTAAAAATAGAAATGTTTTTGCTGTGTCGTCCATCTGTGAGAAACAGCCCAAGTTTAATCTCAACACCCCAGCAGTTGAAGTCAAGAGCAGGTACATTTTGTTTTCTCAACATTTTGTTTTCCAACATTTTGTTTTGCAACATTTTGTCTACTTCTTTAAACTTACATTGGGATCTTATCAGTTTCATTTTTTAATGCATTAATATAAAAGTTAAGCACATTTAGAAGAACCTATCACTAGAATTCAAGTTTTGCTTGCCAGATTGTATCTTGTTTATACTTATACTTACAAAACCATGCATTGAATACATTTTTTCTTGTTGTTTTTCTTGAGTTTTTGACAGTATCTTTCTTGACTACTATTATTATTGTACACTGCACAGAGTTTAAAGAGTTACCTGTTCTCATTGTCTTTTTTGTTTTATCACTGAATTTTATTTACATCACCCTTATTTTACTGTATTGATATTTTAACATCCTGATCCATACCAAACCTTTATAAAATCATATAAATCAAGCATTAGAGTTGTAATATATTTTAAAGCTAAACAGCATAGACTCATTTTTCTAATGACCATTCTAAATGTCTCTCCAGATTTTTCCATAGCAAAAACTTGACTTCCAAAACCAGGAGCCCAGCCAAAAGAAAATCATCCCCTTCCCCTCGCAGCTCTCCAGCTAACAAGCAAGATAAAAAATCTGAAGCTCATAACCCCATCCGTGTTATGTTTGAAAAATCTAAAGCTGCCAAAACAGCCCACCACACTTCCGATGAGGGTCCCATCACGCAGCAATCTACCGCAGCTAAAGACTCCTTCAAACAGTTAAAAGGAAACTCAACAACAGTTATCAAACAAGAGCCGTGTGAAGATGAACTATCACCTCAGGTAACATCCCCAGAAGTGTCCCAGAATTCAGTTTTCCAGAAATTTCAGTCCAGCTTTTTAAACAAAAAAAGTGACCAGAAATCTTCTCCAACTTCTGTGTTCAGCTGGTCCAAGGCTAAGCTAACCAGAAACAAGGATACTCAACTACTTTCAACTCAAAACTGTGATGATAAACATAAATCTCTACTCACTGCTGCAAATAACGTCCATTTACCAGCAGATACAAAAAGTGTTTCAGAACTTCCTAAACCTAAATCACTTTCTAGCTTCTTTAGTTCATCCTCGTATCAAGTCAAAAACAAACAATTCTACTCAACCCAAAATATGGGTGTAAAATCAGAAATAGAACATTGTAATGACGATGAAAGCAACACTGATGATGTTACAGAGTTAAAGTCTTATTCATATGATGCCTTTTTAAAAACTCTGGACAAAGATGATGATGTTGAAGGTAGCAGTACCCAAAGTACTCATACAAAAAAAGTAGACAGTCAGAGCAGCAAGATGGACAGTAAGCTATATTTTATTTTAATATTTTTTTAACAATACCTTTTTTTTCCTTTTTTTTCAATACTTTTAAAAAAATCAGTTTATTATATTTAGTCATCTCTTTTGTCTGCTTATTTTAAAAACTTTAATTTAAATTTTTTTTTTATAGATTTAGATATCACTATTCAGTTCAATAATACTTGTTTTAAAATTTAAATATACTTTTTAAATACAGCCTTGATTTAGATAGTATATTCATAATTTGTTTTATAATAGATCAATAATCAAAATCTAATGTCCAATAGCCAGCATGAACTTGTGTGTATCATCAGGTAATGATATAACCAGTGCCTTGATGGAAGCATCCCAGAGAAGTCCCCAGGATGTTTTGAATACATCTTCCTCTTCTTTAGGCGATGACATGAGACTGGCTAGTGAGAAGAGCAACCTGCAGAGTTTTGATTCTGGTTGTTTTAGCCAAGAGGTCATTGACCTTAGTGATAACGAGATAGACTCAAGTAGTCAGGTATGTGATTATCAACATTGGTGTAGGTAGTTTGATATATATATATATATATATATATATATATATATATATATATATATACATTTGTGTAGACAATAACCTAATCCAAATTTATCTAGGCACTTGACTAACCCAAGCATTATATTTAGAATTTATTGTTACAAGCTGTAGCAACCGTAAAGGAGATTGTTTCAATAAATATATCTGAGAAAACATTTTAGATACTCATATAAAGACCTTTGCCTGAAAAAACATTGAATACATAATAATTGTAATATCATTTTGCAAATATATAAATTGTGCAAGCTACTAATTATTTCCTAAAAACTTTTCTTTTATAGAATTTGACTTTATCTGGTACTTCAAAGAATTTAGGTAAGTTTTAACACCTCTAACCACTATATACAACTTATTAGAAAGCTTAGATAACAAATAATATTGAGTGACTTATAAAGCCAGCATAAAATTCTGTTTGCTTGCCAATATAAACCATCATTTTTTTTTCACAAAGGTAAACCATCATGTCGAGTGTCTGGGTTATCCCGTGGCAAGAAGAATAAACCTTCAACCAAACCAGCCAAAAGGTCATCAGGTGTCACAGGACAAAGGTCAATAATGGATCTGATGAGCCAGTTTCAGTATAAAAGGTGCATACTAGACAGTTACCATTAGGGACCTGTACATTATGCTTATAGACACATACCACTAGGGATTTTAGTTCAAATTAGGCAGAAGACAGTTACCATTAGGGACCTGTGTAAAAATAAGTTACCATTAGGGACCTGTGTAAAAATAAGTTACCATTAGGGACCTTTGTAAAAATAAGTTACCATTAGGGACCTGTGTAAAAATAAGTTACCATTAGGGACCTGTGTAAAAATAAGTTACCATTAGGGACCTGTGTAAAAATAAGTTACCATTAGGGACCTGTGTAAAAATAAGTTACCATTAGGGACCTGTGTAAAAATTAGTTACCAGTATGGCCATCTATACACTTCAGACAGTAGGGACCTGTGAACACTTCAGACAGTAGCCAACTTATACAAACAATTTTTTTTTAAACTGTAATGTAATATCTTTGTCATGAAAAAGACAATTGTGCTAACTTTACTTATGGATTATTATTATAAAACTCTTCACTTTATTTTTTGTGTAACAATGTACTGAGCCTCAGAATGGCATATTAACAATTTCCAGTCTTCAACTGTCAGCTTCTAGATATGCATGCACTGGCCTAATTGTTAAAAAGTTTGACACTGTATCAGTTAAATTAGTTGTATAAGACAAGTTCCTTTTTTGCAGCTAATTCTGTAGTAAATTGAACTAGGGGCTAGGTGACTTGGTTATGTTTGAACACAATAAAACTTAAGTTTAAATCTCTTTTATGCCTTCCTTAAAAAGCTTTAAAGAAATGTTTGTTAAAAATGCCCAGTAAAGGGTTAAATATTACTTGGCAAAACTCATTACATTTTTAAAATATTGATTATTTTATTAGATAATGTGAAATCAAATCAAATATTAATTGATGAATATTTTCCATTAGAGTGGCTGCAATAAATAATAGCCAAGAATGATGCTGGGGAAAGTCACAAGAAACTGTTACAGCCATCAACTCAAGGCATCAGATCATTGAACAATCTCCTGACTACACAATAACTATTGTTATAGCTTGTTGTTATCATATTGTGCCACCATATTGTTGACCCAATGTTACTGTACCATATTCATTGTTTTTATGTATTTTATGCATTTGAAATGTGTTCAAAAACTGGGCATTAACTTGTTTAAGTCAAATCTTTTAAAATTTTACTTTTTAATTATTTTTTATAAGAAAATATTTTTTTCTTAGCCCTCATTTGTGGGACTGATTGTTGAAATAAATAACCTCGCTTTGCAATAAGCAATGTATTGATGTCAAAATGTTTTATCGCCATGTAAAATTAAAACAAATAAAAATGCATTTATTTAAAAACACACGTTTAATATCTTTTTACTTTAATAAATTTTTATCAAACAAGTTGTAAAATAAAACGTAAAAATGATTGTAAAATTTTTTCTAAATGGAAAGTGAACATTCTCTCTTTTTTTTTTTACTAACATGCACTAGTATCCATGATTTTGTCAGCTGAACTCCAGTTCTTTTACAATCCTTGATTCCTATGTGGTGTCACTTTATTTCCGCATCATATATATTAAAGTCCAAATGAACATTTCATATTCATTTAATTACAGGTAAGTCATAGGGTGGTCATGATTGAATAAAGAAAGTACTTAGGTACTTACTTTTCCATAATTCTGTACTCATCTGTCACAACAATACATTTTTTTTCCCCGTCATGTCTTTTAATTTTTACAAATTAATAACGTTGGCCGAACCATTTGGCCAATTTGGTGTTGTGTCATTGTTAGGGGTTTCTTCACCATTTTCTGAAAGCCTAGACTTTGAGATACATAACTTTGTGTCGCTAATCACATTCAGAATTTCAGGCCTCGTTTTAGTCTTCCTTGCGGACAATGTTCTGTGTTTGCACCCGTCAGGACTATTGAGTTCATTGTCATTGGTGCCTGTACTAAAAACAACACTGTGATATTTTATCTTTTTTCTTAAGTTGTATTTACAAGTTTGGGAACCTTTTCTATCAACATACCAATACCTTGATCTATCAGTTGAGTGTTCCGTTTTCTTACGTGTGACCTGGTTTTCATTATTTACTCCATAATCATTATTTGGATCAGGGGTTTCAACCTTGTTTTCATTATTTACAACGTGATCATTATTTGGATCAGGGTTTTCAACCTTGTTTTCATTATTTACTCCGTTATCAGTATTTGGATCAGGGTTTTCAACCTCGTAATTATTTTTAACACAGGGATCAGGGGTTTTAGCCTTACTCGCTAACGTGACCCTAGGCTTTGGGAAGTCCTCCACACTATACGGCCCAGCCATCCAGCCTTCAACACCACCCTTTACACAACGCAGGGACAGATTCCACCGCCTGTACTGGCCCAAATTACTGAGGACCATCTGCCTCAGCTTTTTCCTTGCTCGCTCACATTCATCAACGTTGTACATTTCTTGTGTGTCTACCAGTAATTCAAACTACTATGACCAGAAACAAAGGTTCATCTGTGAATATAAAATGTCAACACCAGTTGTGTAAGCGCAGACAGGTTTTAACTAAATTGTTCAAAACAGTATGAAACTGTACATATCTAGTAGTGGTGCAAATAACAAGTTTTGAAATGTTTGTGTTTAAGTTAAATGATTATGGTGAGCTATACATACAACTCAAAGAACTGTCAAACCTCTTCAGAGGTCAAACCTTGCTTTAACCTCTGCTGATAAAAATTGTGTCAGTCAGGTTTAACTGTAAAACAAGATGACAGTCACACAACCCAGTTGTTTGAATGTAGGACAAGATAACAGCTGTGTGACCTAGTCTTGTTTAAATCTAGGACAAGATAACTTTATGACCTAGTTCTGTTTGAATGTAGGACAAGATAACAGCTGTGTGACCCAGTAATGTAGGACAAGATAACAGCTGTGTGATCCAGTGATGTTTGAATGTAGGACAAAATGTCAGCTTTATGACCTAGTCCTGTGGTGAATGTAGGACAAGATAACAGCTATGTGACCCAGTAATGTAGGACAAGATAACAGCTGTGTGATCCAGTAATGTTTGAATGTAGGACAAGAAGACAGCTTTATGACCTAGTCCTGTGGTGAATGTAGGACAAGATAACAGCTGTGTGATCCAGTAATGTAGGACAAGATAACAGCTGTGTGAACCAGTAATGTAGGACAAGATAACAGCTGTGTGACCCAGTAATGTAGGACAAGATAACAGCTTTATGACCTAATCCTGTTTGAATGTAGGACTAGATGACAGCTTTATGACCTAATCCTGTTTGAATGTAGGACAAGATAACAACTATGTGACCCAGTAATGTAGGACAAGATAACAGCTGTGTGATCCAGTAATGTAGGACAAGATAACAGCTATGTGACCCAGTAATGTAGGACAAGATAACAGCTGTGTGACCCAGTAATGTAGGACAAGATAACAGCTGTGTGACCCAGTAATGTAGGACAAGATAACAGCTTTATGATCTAATCCTGTTTGAATGTAGGACTAGATGACAGCTTTATGACTTAGTCCTGTTTGAATGTAGGACAATATAACAGCTGTGTGATCCAGTAATGTAGGACAATATAACAGCTGTGTGATCCAGTAATGTAGGACAATATAACAGCTATGTGACCCAGTAATGTAGGACAAGATAACAGCTGTGACCCAGTAATGTAGGACAAGATAACAGCTGTGTGACCCAGTCCTGTTTGAATGTAGGACAATATAACAGCTGTGCGATCCAGTAATGTAGGACAAGATAACAGCTGTGTGACACAGTTATGTAGGACAAGATGACAGCTTTAAATGTTTAAATGTAGGGCAAGATGACAGCAATGTGTCATAGTTTTGTTTTAATTTAAAACAGCCATGTAACCTAGCTATGTTTGAATGTACCTTGTAGGGTCACAGCCAAGTTGACTAACCCATTTAAAACATACAGCCATTGACACAATATTTTAACATATGGACACCATCCTTGGTCCAGGCAATTTATACAGTTAGACTAGACTCAGATATGTAGAGGGCCTCTACACTGATTATTTCTAATTACATCTCAATTTTTAAGCTAAATTTGTTGGTTAATATTTAGATTACTGGCTATTTTTCTGTACTTGGATCATCAGGTAGGCCTATTTTTTAACAAGCATCACCAGGCATTTGTGACATAGGGATGATCAAACAAGTAGGATTTCTGGGTCACCAATCTAATAATACTTGCTAAACACAAATACATTTTTATTCTGAGGTGTAGGCAGAGGTGTATAAGCTCTTGTGTCTCTGTTTGACAAATATTGTACAAACAATGTTTCATTTATTATATATATATATATATATTATTATATATATATATATATATAAAATATATATATATATATATATATATAAAATATATATAATATATATATATATATAAATAAATAAATAAATATATATATATATATATGAATTTGTCCAAAAAAAATGTTTAACTTTCTACACACACACATGAATGTTTTCTGAACCATCCCCTTACCATCACCAGTATCTTGCTATGCTACTGTTTTCAATGAAAGCAAAGAGCAAATAATTCTGAATTTCAATTTTAAAATAACATTTCTTTAATCATAACCAACAAAACATGAACAGTTTTCTGTTAAATCATTATCAATGTCATACTTCTTATTTACATATCAACAGAATTATTGGCCATGTCATTAAATTTGATTTTAAAAATTAAAAAAACATTGTTAAACGTGTTAACTTTTTAAAAAGTAAGGGTATGCTGTTTTATTTTTACATAATTATGAACAGTTTGAAGCATAAAAACAGCCATATGTACATGAAGGTTTGCTTTTACAACCCAACATAAATAGATACCGGTAACTTAAAAACACAAATGATTAGATGGCAGAAGTCTTACAAAAAAAAATATTTCTTAAATTAATTTGAACATGTAGACCTATGTAATATTACGTTATTGCCAGTATACATTAAAAAACAAATGTTTTGAGGAATAAGCTACACAGTCTCAGGAACCATTATGCTTTTTGCTGTCAGTTCCTCCATTATCTGTGATACCATTATTATTATTAGCTTGAAAAACTCGAGGAGGAAGTGGAAATGTTTTAGAAATATGTTCCATCATCCCATCTTCTCCCTCCCACATATTTGTAAAACTGGCAGCAAGTCCTTTTGAAATGTACTTTGGGAACTTTCCCATCTGACAATCAAGGCACAAGGACTTTTTTGCCCTTTTTATTTCATCAAGCTGGTATGACATTTTTCTAAAAAAAAAGTTTATTAACTCCAGACTAAAATCCACTCATGAAAACTGTATAATCAATACTGGTATCTGCATACACCTGAGAATGAAATAATTCTTTGTGTATTATTAATGAAACTAGTAAATATTTACTATGCCAGCATTTAAGTTAAATTTGAAATAATAAGCAATAAAAACTAAAAACAAAACACTAGCTTTTACCTGAGCCTCAAAAACATGGTTGAAAAAAACTTATAAATTATCAATTTGTTAAATAAAATAAAAACTATAAAAAAAAAAGAATTAAAATTAAAAAATGCTTGGTTTAGAAAATGTACCAATTAATTTTTTTTTTCAAAGATCTACCTTCATCTTAATAGTAGACCATTCAATGCAGTGCTTCAAACTTCAAGTAACACACCAGTGCTGAAATACATTTGATAAAAAGCATAAAAAACTTAATTACTAGATCTAGATATCTAACTAGAAACTATAAATAAACTATTTTGGCAATAACACGAAGTAAAGAGTAGAATGTATATATAATAATTATTAATTTAAAATTATAATAATGTTAGCATAATTAATATTTCATAAGAAAGTTATAAGACACTTTAATTGATTAAAAGACATAGATCTAGTCTATGTACTTAGTTATAGTAAATGGTAATCTATAGTTTTAGGTGCATAATATCTGCCGAGGCTAGTAATGAGAAAAAAGGTTGCCACATTGTTAAGGCTTTAATAGAAGTATATTGTGATATATTTGTGATAAATATTATAGATAACAGAATAATAAACCAAAATCAATGACTAAATACATCAAGATAAGCCGGAAATTAACTTTAAACAGCAGCGTTTGCAAGCAAGATTTGCTATATAAACAGCCATCATTGGTAAATTTAAAATTAGAGCGATTTCCTCTGAATCTCTAACTATAATTTAACAAAAACAAAATTAAACAAAATGGCTGCTAAACTAAAGTAAATGAGCTTGGTTGCGTCTGATGAAACCATCACTAGTCTTTATTTAAATAATTTATTACTGAAAGTTTTAATACAATTGTTTAAAAACAGGTGCAAGAATGAAACTTTGAAACATTTTTTTTATTTTGTATCTTTCAAAACATAGATTCTAGATTCTAAATCCTCCTAAAAATGTGAAATTATTAGGCCTACTAAAATTTAATGAGACACCTTTTTTGCACATTACTAATCTCTGCCAATTTTACGTACCTAAAACGATAGATTACCTCGTAGTGCTAGTGGGTAAAACACTTTACTTAGGACCCGGGTCCCAATAGCCACGGCCGCTATTGGGACCCGGGTCCTAATAGCCTCGGGCGCTATTGGGACCCGGGTCCTAATAGCCTCGGGCGCTATTGGGACCAGCCAATAGAATTGTTTAGATTTAGTTATACAAAAGTTCTTTTAAGATGCAGAATATATCTTTTCTGTTGTGATTTTTTTCCTTGTAGATCTAATTCTAAATGATATGTTGAGATCTTGATTTAAATACCCGATATCATTACTGACAAATGTTATGATGAGCAGGTGTCGTTAGGTCTATAATATAATTATGGCCTATGCTATGGTATGAGCTTCTATGGCCGAGCGAATGTTGAGCACGCATGTTAAAATGTGTTTTATTTATTTTTTTCTTCTGTTAAACGTAATTTGATTTCATAGGTCTGTCCGTCCAAATATATATATTATATATACATATTATTTATATATATATATATATATATATATATATATATATATATATATATATATATATATATATAAAATTGTATAAGATAGCTCATATAGGCTGCAGACTACAGATCCCGGGCCCCCTTTTTCTTGAACACGAATATCTCGCATGCGTTGTGGTACACTTTAATAGAAGCAAGATGTAACATTTGAACTCACAATGACCCTAAATCCGTTTTTCCCTCTTACTGGCTTGGGAGAGGGGAGGGGGGGGGGACTACGACGTCGACAAATCTCGACAAGCTCATAGCAATGGTTTTGCTATGACGTATGCTATACGCCTACACTGCGTACACTGTTCACATCTAAACCAAAGTGAACTCACAGTGACCCTGGCTACACCGTGTCGGTATTTTTCTTGCGCCAACCAGAAAATGCGAGCGGGCGATCAATGGAGCAACGATGTTTTTATAATTGGCGTGTTTAAAAACCTAAATCTAGAAAAAAAAAATCTATTTTGTAATAAAAAATAATTAAAAAAGACACAACTCATAGGGAATTTAAACTTAGATAAATACACTTTACTTCACACAAAATAGAGAGCTTTGTAGGTTCCGATCCCGTAACTGATCGAGATTCGGGAGGTACTGCGTTCTCCACTCGACCATGACGTCTTACGATTATTTATTTAAGTATTTAATGATTTTGTATATACCGCTAAATATATGTTATTTAGATATAGCAACACAAGAACTAACGCTAGATAATCCGCATAACTAATTACAATAAAAGACAACAAAATACGAGCAAATCCACAAGAAAAATCAAATAAACATAAAAGGTATAATTTTAATACAGGTTGTACAAGTGCTTAACGAACTTAATGCCGGGTCCCAATAGAGGCCGAGGCTATTAGGACCCGGGTCCTAATAGCCACTTCCTTACTTTAATCCTCCAATATCAGAGTAATAACATTATCATTACTCATTAGAATGTCTAGACTAGATTCTCTAATCTCTAGAAATCTAGACCTAGCCTATGAGAATGAAGAACAGTATTGAGTATGACAGTATGAGTATGTCCTGATGTAGTTGAAAAGTAGGCCTATAGTAAGTTAAATCACATTAAATGACCTAATAAATGTAGTAGCCTAGCCCTAGGGCCTAGACTAGATCTATATGTACTTAATAGTAAAACTCCATTTTAGCGTATTTTATTCCCCACTTCACGTTCACCTCCAATGGAGCGTAATTTATTATAAATACAACCGAAACACAAAAAAACGGTAGGTAAACATTGGGCTTATTTCTTTAAGAAGTTTTGTTTTAGGTTTTGATAATTTCCTTTTGTCAAAACTTGAGAAAAATCCAAATTTTGAATATTGAATGTGCTATGTTCGTGTGTCTGTTAAGATATTCATCAATTCATGGGTAATCTATCGTTTTGGGTACGTAAAATCGCCCGTGGCTATTAATGTACGAAAACGTTACCTCATTGTCAAGGCTGTAATAGAAGTATATTGTGATATGTTTGTGTCAAATATTATAGATAAATGAATAATAAACCTTAATCAATGGCTAAATATATCAATATAGGCCAGAAATTAACTTTAAACAGCAGTGTCTGCAAGCAAGATTTGCTATATAAAAAGCGGCCATTTGTAAAATAGAGTGACTTCCGCCTGAATCTCGCGCTATAAGTCAATAAAAATAAAACTTTAACAAGATGGCTGCTATAGTAAATGAGCATGGTTGCATCTGTTGGAAACATCGCTGGTGTTCATTTATTACTGAAAAGTTTTAATTCAATTGTTTAAAAACTGGTACATAAATGAAACAAGGAAACATTTTTGTATTTTTCAAAACATAAATCCTCCTCAAAATGTGAAATAATTATTAAAATGCAAGGAGTCACCTGTTTTTCACATTACTAGTCGCGGGCGATTTTACGTACCTAAAACGATAGATTACCAATTCATGTCAATGGGTGAAGTACAAAACTCACTATTGATGACTATTGCAAGGCGGTTAAGCAAAGTTTGTATTGTTACAAGTATCTCCCACGCATAATACTACTATAAATAAACTTTTATGAACTCACAATGACCCCAAAACTGAAACCAACACCATTTCAAATAGCTACTGCCAAACTATGACATTTGCTGATAATTAATAAAGTCAGTATGAACTCACGGCTATGGTGAACCCTCGACAGTGTAGGGGTTTTTCTCCCGCTGATCACACGCTATTTAATTGGAACTGATACTAATGCTTTTTTATGTTTATTTTTTCTTTACCTTTTCTAATTAAAACTCACAATCATCAAAAAAATAAGTGGTAATCTATCGTTTTGGGTACGTAAAATCGCCCGCGACTAGTAATGTGAAAGACAGGTGACTCCTTAAATTTTAATAATTATTTCACATTTTGAGGAGGATTTATGTTTTGAAAAATACAAAAATGTTTCCTTGTTTCATTTATGTACCTGTTTTCAAACAATTGAATTAAAACTTTTCAATAATAAATGAAGACTAGCGATGTTTCCAACAGATGCAACCATTCTCATTTACTATAGCAGCCATCTTGTTTAAGTTCTTTCTTTGTTAACTTATAGCGCAAGATTCAGGGGAAGACAACTCTATTTTACAAATGGCTGCTGTTTATATAGGAAATCCTGCTCGCAAACACTGCTGTTTAAAGTTAATTTCTTGCCTATATTGATATAGATCTATTTACTAAATATTATTATTTAGCTATTGATTTAGGTTTATTATTCATTTAGGCCTATCTATAGGCCTAATATTTAACACAAATATAATATCAAAATATACATCTATTAAAGCAGGGGTCTCCAAACTACGGCCCGCGGGCCGGATGCGGCCCGCGAAGTCCTCTCATCCGGCCCGCGGAGATCTTTTAGTCCAAGAAAAAAAGGTTTGTTAGTGATGGCTGAGAAACTTTGCCCAGAAAAATCAAAGACATGCCTGGAAGAAACTGGCCCCCGAACTGAAATTTGATAGACTAGTTAATGCGGCCCTCGGACTGAAAAGTTTGGAGACCCCTGTATTAAAGCCTTGATAATGAGGTAACTTTTCCGTACATTAGAAGCCGCGGGCGATTTTACGTACCCAAAACGATAGATTATCAAATAAGTAGATTCTAGATCTAGCTCTAATGATCTAATCCAAGTGTTTCCTAACGTTTGTGTGTGTTTACTGTGTTTCGGTTGTGTTTACAATAAAATTAAAATTATACGCTCAACCTGAGGTGAACGTGAAGCGGCGAATAAAATACGCTTAAATGGAGTTTTACCGTACTAGATTAAGTAATTTAATATGTAGATCTATGTTGTATGAACTATGATGAAATTAATTACCATACAGATATTTTATTATTTATTATTAATATTATTTAGATCTTAGTTACAAGTTAGTTAGATTCTAGGAGTAGTTACCCGTTAATTTGAGTTTTTAATCCACCAAAATAAAAGACAAAAAAAAACTAAAAAGTTAGATCAAAAAAGTTAGGCCAACTCAATATCGTTATTTTTTTTTTTTGTAAAATTATTAAAAACTGCGGCGGAAATTTGTATATAAATTTATGATGTTGGCCTTATTTTTTATATTCATATATAATATATTATATTCATTATAAATGGAAGACAAGTTTGTTTTGTAGGAATATAAGATACATTATTATTTTTAAAATAACAAGGGGAAGTAACTATATGCATAATTTAAAACAAAATATTTGTTACTAGAATACCCGTCATCCGTTGGATAACTGTGGGTTTCGGGGGTCATCCATCAAAAAACATCACGTCTGTCACTCAGAGGCATAGCGACCCTTCCCGGCGCCCGGGGACAAAGTTTTCGATTTGAACCCCCCCCTCAAACTTTTGATGTGCACCCCCCCCCACTCAAACTTTCGATTTGAACCCCCCTCAACCTATCAATTTATTTTTCCAAACCATTTTGGCGCCCCAACATATGTCCCCCCCCCCTTCCCCCCTCCACCTCCCCACCCCCCCTTCCCCCCCCCCCGCCTCCCCTCCCCACCCCCCGCCTCCCCTCCCCTACCGTCCCCCCCCCCCCTCCTCGGTACGCTACTGCAGTGTCACTTATCGTCACAAAAAACAGACCCCACATTCAAATATATGTTTTTTATCTTTTAAAAACACCGAAAACACCGATTTCGGACTATCCCTTCATAAACTGACGTCACAGGTGACCTACTCAACTCTACTTCACCTGCCCAGTGTCCTGCCAAGTCTCAGACAACATGTTTTTATCGTTTAAAAAACAATTCCAGCCGAGCATGTATCTGACCACACTATCCTTTCATATGCTTAGGACAAAGAAACAGATGAACTCTACTTCACCTGCCCTGTATCTTGCCAAGTTCAGATAGGCAACGTTATCATTCACATCTAAAAAAAAAAATTGAAAAAAAAAATTTCATTGACATATTGGTCTAGAACCCGTGCCTCCTGCATGAGAGCTGACTACGCTACCATTTTAGCTATTTACTCGTGACGTCACAAGTGAATTTTTATACTATACTATGTGTCTCCTTATGCAACTTGATTTACGCGTATAGATTCTAGATCTAGATCTAAAAATAAGTCTAGTAGTACTAACTTTCAAATTAAATTTTATCTTAAATAAGCCAAACAAAGATTTATATAAAATAATTAAGGCCTGAAATAGATTCTAGATGTAGAATTTACATTGAATCTAGTGACCTACATCTAGGCTAGATCTAGATCTAGGCTAGATTCATAAATTTCCTTCGATAGCTGATCTTTAGATCTAGAGAAATTTATCGTAAAACTAAATGAAAAAGACAGTTGAAAATTGATATAAGTGTTGGAACGTAATAAATACAGCAAACGGACGTATTGTTAAAGTTATGACCGACAGAAAATTAGCTTTGTAACGCGTTAAACTTTTGAATGGGCCACAAAGTCTTTGATGGGGTCCGCCATTTTTATTGAACCAAAAATGTAAACACATCAAGGGACGTCACTATCCCCACAAAGTTTATTCAAAGTATTAACATTTTTAAAAAAATACGGTTAATTTAACTATGAATAAATCAATTAATTAATTAACGTCTTTAAATAAATTTGTGATTAACAGTCTGTCTGCATTAAAAAATTATTCTCTACCTACATACTATTTTACAGCTCTCCACATAGAGCCGAACATATCAGGATACTTGATCAGGCAAACAAACAAACAAACAAAAAAACAAAAAAATAAATATTCAAACATGTAAACAAACTTGACTTTTAGTAGTATATAGATAAATAGTGTCATAGTAAGTAGGTTTTTAAAAATATAGATCTAGATCTAGTTATTGTAGTTAAGCCTAGATTCTATAGTATTTTTTAAATTAATTTTAAATCTCGCTAGATCTAATAAACAACAACACGAAATATAATAAAAATACTAGACTGGAGCTAGATCTAGTCTAGATTACTCAAGATATAATAACAGATAACTCATCAATGTTGGTCTGGCAGTCTAGCTCACATTCACATTGACAATCATTAATGAATGACATTCAATTCATTCATTCAATTTCAATCATCATTTCAGACATTTTCACTTGATTTTAATTAATTTCCTATCTTAAATCTTAGACCTTAGATTTCTGTGAGTGTAAATCAGTAGGCCTAAATGTAATTAATTATGTCATTCAATTTAAATGAATTTGATTTTTGATAATGATAGAGATACCAGTAAATAAAACCTTAGCTTCGGAAATTATCGGGTTATGTTTGTTGAAAGTTAAGTTATGCCTATGGCATTTATTTATACTACAGTAAACCATGGTTTATTTGACCATTGAAATATAAATAAAGTCGATTGATAGTAATAGCCCTAGACAGTAGATTTAAATTAGTAGATCTAAAAATTTAAAAAATATATAGGATTGAATTGTTGTTCCCTTTCTAAATGACTCACATTATCTAAATAATTTCCCTTTTTGTAAAAAGAAATAATTGTTTTTCTCCTCTCTAGATACATCACAAAGAAACAAGAAATTTGTTTGTAATGGTTATAAAACAATGAATACTGTAAAGTGTAGACCACCAGCATATTTTTAGCCACAGCAGCTGACAATCTCCACTATGCTATCATAGAGGATGCTGTACAGATATGAAATCTTCATTTTAAAAATATTTTCTTTTCAAAACAAGACTTTGCTCATTATATAGCAAGACGATGATATTACATAAATTGTCGACAGAATTGAAAATTGTGTTGCTTGGAAGAAATAAGCCTTAACATTGTATCTCATAACAATAGTCAACTGCTATGCTTTTGTTGGAAGATAGAAACAATGTAACACTAGCTTTTAGTAGACCTTTAGTGTCAGAATCCATAAGGTCATGTTTGTAGAGTAAAATGTTCAGGAGACTTGAAGAAACTCAACTGCTCAGATTCACTGAATGGAAGGCCAGGATGTACACATCATGTATGATGCACTTTTTCAAGTCTGTTATGTTCACATGGCCCATCACACAATCAGAAAACAAGTTGATATTTCAGATATGTGCCTACAGCTGGAGGACTAAAATATTTGTTCTTACTAATTGATCTTAAAGACAAAGCTGCCTATGTAGTAAATTGTTAGCCCCCAATCGGGTGCAGTAATAAGATAAATGGATGCTTTATTCAACGTGTGTTGACAATGGTTGAAATTATTGAAAGGAAAACATTACTGGCTGTGGCTAGATATGTTTATAATAACTTGAATGTCATGTCTTTAGAAAGTTTTGGGCTTGAACTTATTTAAAAATGTAACACAACTGGAGAATATTTCTGTTGCAAAAAAATTCTACCACTGTGTAACCATGGTAACAGTCCATCCATGGAAATTTGTGGGTGGGATTAGATGAACATTTCTCAGAATGAAGCAAAATCTACAGCAACAGAGGTATTGACAGCCTTTACAACCTGACCATGTTTCACTCCTCTCATATTCACATGCCCAATCGGCATAGGCAGAGGTGTGCCCTGCGGACATTTTTCCCATCTTCCTCCTTCAGCCCGCCTGACTCCAAAGAACCACTACGTAGGGGAATTCTTTTCTCTAGCATTGCCACCATTCTTCTGCTGGTGGGAGCCATCCTCACGTGGCTTGGTAAGTGCTACCATTTTACCCATTGGTTAACTCTTATTGATGTTATTCTATTGATGTATTTTATTACGGTAATTGTTTACTTGACATTTTAGTTTAATATACGTTTTATAAATATAATAAATCTTTTTAATCAAAAGGTTTTAATGATGTCTTTGGGGGTAAAATTTCAATGACTGGTCCACTGCTGATTGCCTTAGCCCTACTGATGTTGTTGTTGTCTTTCCGACAATTTTTACTGGCTCGGAAAAGAAATAGAACCTCCAATTTATCAGTGCAGGTAAAAGATATTTTGTGTACAAAGATAAATTCAGTACTAGTGGGGTTAGTGGTGGGTTAAACCTGTTATGATAAGGAAAGTGTTTTTTTTTTCTTTTTGTTTTATGAATCTTGCAAGAAGAAATAAACTTTAAAACTAAAACAAAAATTATGTTTAGATGGAAAATATGAATAATGATGGTGGAGCACCGGCCTATGCAGAGAGTGAAGATGTGAACGGTACGGCCACCATTGTTGTTGAAAACTGGGATGGGGAGGACATGTACACCAATGAGCTACAGTAAGAAAACTTGTACAACTCTTGTAGCTGAACAAACTCAGTGGATCCTTGGGTGACTCACATTGGTGCACTAGAGCTGCATGGCACTGGTGCTTTTTTCATATTGGTTTAACATTTCTGTCATTGATTGAAAAAAAGTAGGTTTTTACCCTTTTCGGATTTGGTGGTCAGTGGGGCAGATGAAGTAGAGTTCACCTGTGACTTTGATATATGAAGGGATAGTGTGGTTAATTCTTTACCCAACTAGCTTTTACTTTCTCTAACGCGAGTCAGGTCACATTATAGCTGGGTGCACCCAATCCTATAGACTCTACTCTAGTATCCAAACTTAAGTTTAAGACTGGGACTAGTATTTGTCCACTCCACACCATCCCATCCATATTTTAAAGAGATTTAATACATGTAAGCTAATAGAAACTTACAGAAACCATTTGTAAACACCAAGATATCACCAAGTTGTGCTTCAGGTTTTTAAAAAAAAAGTTTGTGCACGCATGAATAAGATATTTAGGCCTCATGTTATACAGGTGTTAGTATTTAATCTTGTTTTGAACTTGTTTCCACTCACCACTTCATGTCTTACTCCAGCATCACTGCCAGGAACCAAGATGAGCTGGCCCCGCCCTCGTACACAGACATTGCCCACAGCTACAGCAGCAACTGTCCCAGTTTCTTCAGCCATGATGACCAGAACGAGGCCCCTCCCACGTACGATGAAATATGTGCTAGAATGTTCTCATACGGAAGTGAATCTAGCATTTCAAATTTGGAATTCTCCCAGACTATCTCTCCAGTAGAACTGCTACAGAAAAACCTGCGTACTCATGACGGAGAAACAGACAGTGGCGGTTTCAGTCAATCGCTAGGTGAGACTGGGGGTGGGGTGGGTTCACACCTACCTGCAACCTCCCATCTACCTGGGGGCGCTCAACAAAACTCGGAGACTTCACCCAGGAACAGAAACTTATCTTTAATTATTTCCAGCAGTGATAATGAAGAAGCCGTGGAGCATTCAGCGCAGTGTTGCCAAAGGTCCTTCTCATCAATTCCATCCTACACCTGCCTGCTGAGTGAGTCAGGGGAGGTCTCAGCACAGGTCTACAACACATCCTCCATCATTGAAGAAATGATGCCGCCTGCCAAGGACCAACAGCTGATGAGCGAGCCGTCCAGCGTGCCGGCCCGCTCTCACTCAATGTCCTCCGTCTTTGTGCCCAGGCAGGGAGTCCCCTACACCAACATCCATCTTCCACCCCTCCCCACAAGTGCAATACTAGACGAGCCAAACGAGCAAGAGCCACCGCCCCACTTGTCAAGTAGCAATCAGAGTGAGAACATATCCCATCCATTATCTCCCTGCTATGGCTGTCAGTTTAGAAAGGCCAGCGACTCAAACATACTAGATCTGAAGCACTCGGCGTTTTTAAACCATGCATCCCCCCAGCGCGGCCATTCTTTGGAGTTCCACTCAAACTTTACCGTCAATGCCCCGCCCAATGTGGTGGGTGCACCAACTGTTACCCGACACAGCAGCTCGTCACTGGCACCACAGCAGGCACTCAGTGACTCTGGTCTTAAAGCCACCTCCCCCCCAGCCTTACAGCACAGAGCAAGCTTGAAGACGCCAGATGTACAGGAAACTATATAGGCAGTGAATTGTTTCATCCATTGTCTAGATAAATAAGTTACAGGAAACTATTTGGGAAGTGAATTGTTTTATCCATTGTCTAGATAAATAAGTTACAGGAAACTATATAGGCAGTGAATTGTTTTATCCATTGTCTAGATAAATAAGTTACAGGAAACTATATAGGCAGTGAATTGTTTTATCCACTGTCTAGATAAATAAGTCACAGGAATATATAGGCAGTGAATTGTTTTATCCATTGTCTAGATAAATAAGTCACAGGAAACTATATAGGCAGTGAATTGTTTTATCCATTGTCTAGATAAATAAGTCACAGGAAACTATATAGGCAGTGAATTGTTTTATCCATTGTCTAGATAAATAAGTCACAGGAAACTATATAGGCAGTGAATTGTTTTATCCATTGTCTAGATAAATAAGTCACAGGTAACTATATAGGCAGTGAATTGTTTTATCCACTGTCTAGATAAATAAGTCACAGGAAACTATATAGGCAGTGAATTGTTTTATCCATTGTCTAGATAAATAAGTCACAGGAAACTATATAGGCAGTGAATTGTTTTATCCACTGTCTAGATAAATAAGTCACAGGTAACTATATAGGCAGTGAATTGTTTTATTAATTGCCTAGATAAATAAGTCACAGGAAACTATATAGGCAGTGAATTGTTTTATTAATTGCCTAGATAAATAAGTCACAGGAAACTATATAGGCAGTGAATTGTTTTATCCACTGTCTAGATAACTAAGTCATATTTTATCTTGCACAAGTCAAGTTTAGTGTGCATCATGTGTAAATGTTTATGTTTTAAACCCTGGGGTCAATCTCATCACATGATGTATGACTGTACACTTGTGTTGCTTAGGTAAAATTGAAGATGTCATTGTATCAAAATATTTTAATATTAACTCCAGCTTATACATTAGTTAAATTTAAGCAGCAATATTATAGAAGTGTAAAAATAACGTTAAATTGATTCTAATAGGTTGATAGTGTAAAAACATCAAATTACTTGAGATTTAGGGGAAGGGAGGTGATGGATTTTAATGAAGCTGTGTGACCAACAAACATCCTTGTAAATTATTGGCCTAACCTGGAACCCCATTGAAATAACTGAAAGTGATATCTTCTGCTGCTAAACCTTTAACAAAATTAAGGCAACAAAACAACCATTAGACACACACACACACACTATGGACTCCAGAATTTTACTGTAAAATTTCATGTTACTATGGACTGCAGAATTTTACTGTAAAATTTCATGACACCATGGACTGCAGAATTTTACTGTAAAATTTCATGACACCATGGACTGCAGAATTTTACTGTAAAATTTCATGACACTATGGACTGCAGAATTTTACTGTAAAATTTCATGTCACCATTTACTGCAGAATGTTACTGTAAAATTTCATGACACCATGGACTGCAGAATTTTACTGTAAAATTTCATGACACTATGGACTGCAGAATTTTACTGTAAAGTTTCATGACACCATGGACTGCAGAATTTTACTGTAAAATTTCATGACACTATGGACTGCAGAATTTTACTGTAACATTTCATGACACCATGGACTGCAGAATTTTACTGTAACATTTCATGACACCATGGACTGCAGAATTTTACTGTAAAATTTCATGATATCATGGCCAAACTTCAGGCCTTGTCATAATTAGCCATTTCTTCTATACTGAACAAGTAGTTATGGTGTCTTTTTTGTGATATTATATTTAAGACAATGACCCATTACCAGATGTATGTCAAATTGTTACAATCAAAAGATCACACATAGAGTATTCATAGAAAATGACCTTAGAAAAACAGTGATGAGATTTTAAAAATTATTAATTTGAGGCTAAAAGCTTTACACTCATACTCTAAGACTGTTCATTGTTTTCTGTCATTTGTTTAGCATGTTATGCTTGTAAAACTTAAGTTCTATTGAAGTACTTCTATGTAAAGGTGCAATACAATGTCAAAATGTGTACAGTAAAAGTGTAAGCCTACACAGAATTATGTACATATGTACATTTTAAGTTTGATCTGTTTGCATTTGAAAGTTGGGAAAAATGTGTGTGTAGGTGTTGGTCGGGGGGGGGGGAACTAGAGATGGGTCTATGACATCATGTAACATGTTTCCAATAAAAGCTTCAGCTGATAGGTAACTGGGCAGTACTTTGCTACCTTAACCTAGGTGTGTATATCACCTTATTATTTTTACAGCGGCTGTGTCTATCCCCTCATTAAACCTGTTTGTAATGACAAGTCTACTCCCACATGTAACCTGTTAGAAATGTCAAGTCTATCTAAAGTCTCACCCCTTCTCAGACCTGTCAATAACAAGTCTATCCCATCTGTCAAGTTACTAAACAGCCACACACCCCTGTATCTGATGTAACAAAATATGCACAGTAACATGTTTTTGTGTGAGCACTTTTATGTCAACATTGTGTGGTGGCATGCATGTGAAATGGACTGATCACATCTTTCCTTTTACCAATGTTTCATGGTAACTCTTCAATATTGTGTGATTTGTCTTCTCATTCACCACAGAAGTTGCTTGCATTTGATGAATAACCAATGTTAGACCTTTGGAAAACTTGTAACAAAAATGATGTTCAGAACACCTCTGCTTGGCAATGTATGTTCATGCTTTTATACTTTATAGCACAAGTAGATAGACCTCGTAATGCAATTACTGTAGTGAAATATGCATCCATTCACAATTAGATGTGCACTTGTAGTTAGACCTGGTTCAGCTTTCACTGTTGTGTGCGTGTACATGCATTCATTCATTCACATGTAACTACTGTAACACACTTGAGTGAAAAACAAATTCTGTGTGTGTATGTGCATTCATTCATTCACATGTAACTACTGTAACACACTTGAGTGAAAAACAAATTCTGTGTGTATACGTGCATTCATTCATTCACATGTAACTACTGTAACACACTGAAAACCAAATTCCTGATGCCTTTGTCACTGCCTGGTTTTATAGCAACACAAATTTTGGTGACCTAACTTTATTCTTTATAGGTACTGTTTATGGATTTTATAAGTTTTTTTTTGAGGTTTTGTAACTCCTCTTCCATAAATGCACTCAACTTTTTCTTCTCCTGTTTTAAGAGTGGCCAAGATTACTCAACAGCTTCATGTGAAAATGAACTCATTTTTTGCAGTGATTTGCATGTTGCTAAGACACAGAATAATTCAATTTCCTCACAGCTCTGCCAAAGTGACAGCAGGATATCATTCACGCAAGATGTAACACCATGACACCAATCTCATCTAGTCACACTTTATATAACACCATGACACCAATCTAATCTAGTCACACTTTATATAACACCATGACACCAATCTAATCTAATCACACTTGATATAACACCATGACACCAATCTCATCTAGTCACACATGTAACACCATGACACCAATCTAATCTAGTCACACTTGATATAACACAGACACCAATCTCATCTAGTGACACATGATGTAACACCATGACACCATTCTCATCTAGTCACACAACCTAGTATCCCATCAGTAGAAAAAAAAACCACTCGTGATGTAATGTATTGCTATACATATATATATATATGGTCAAAACAATGCTCTTATATTTTTATATATTTCCCAATGATAATTTATACAAATATTTTTTATATTAAAAAATTATGTGCAATATTGTAATTATTTACTTGTGATAGAGATAAACTTAACATTGGGTTTTGAGATTGTTATCACTGCCTGAACTTTAAGTCATTTGAACTTGTTTTTGTACTTTTGTTTTTATTGCTTGTGTATATCAGTTGCAGTGAGATTATAAAATAATGGTTTGGTCAGAGTAGTGGCTGCTGCTTGTGTTGATTCATGTAAAGTTGAACTCTCTTGTGTCTAGAAGTAGACAGTGTTTTTGTTGCTTTAGATTAATTATTGCTAATTTAAAGGTTTTAAAAATTTTGAACTTATTGTTTTTCTTGTAAAGCTTGCATATATGTGAATTTCTTAGAATGGATCTAACTGGTAACAATATTAACTTGGCTCTTTAATGACAAATACATGTCTAACTCCAGTTCAACTTGTTTTTGTATTTGTTTGTTTTAAGTTATGGAATTTCATATGAAGAGATTTGAAATTGCTGGAAAAGGGGGAATAACTAAAGGTGGAGCACAAGAATGTCCACTAATAGTTGGGGTACTATGATGGCCAGGTGTACTTGCTGAAGTACTGAGGTGGCCATTGGTACTTGGTATAGTACCAATGGCCAGGTGTACTTGATGTAGTACTAGGATGGCCAGGTGTACTTGATGTAGTACTAGGATGGCCAGGTGTACTTGATGTAGTATTAGGCTGGCCAGGTGTACTTGATGTAGTACTAGGATGGCCAGGTGTACATGCTGGCACCAAGATAGCAACTAATAGTTAAAAGTTGAAGTACTTTGACAACCATTTCAATTAAGTTCATTAGTACCCCCCTGTCAGTCTAACATTGTTAACTTGTTCTCCATCACAAAATTTACTTTTATGAGTTCATTCAACCACAAAATTATGATACTGAACAATTTATATTTGAAAAAAAAAACAAATTTTTATTTCTCTTTGACATGTAATATGATAGTTGTCAAATATATTTTCAAGTTAAAATCTCAGCTATCTCCACACCATTTCCAAACAAGATACAACAAAACAAACATAATATGCCATACAACATATCACAGACCCCATGAAACAGCTGACTGAAGGGCCACTACAATCAGATAATCTATTTCGTTTGATATTTTGATAGATGTGTACATATAATTAAAATGCCCAAAAATTGCACAATCTTCCTGTTGTAGGTTGTTGTTTTTTTATATTTAAAAATCTAAATTATCATCTTAAATACAAAATTCTAAATATTTTTTTTACTAATATTTCTTATAAAGTAGTGCCATAATCTGACTAAGAGAATGCTGAGTGTAGAGATTAAATAATAAAAATAAATTCTTTGCCTTATCTGCCATGACCATCAAGTGCTCGAGTGCATCACATTAAAAATATTTTCTTATCAGTTTGATTTCAGATATATATATGTACAATACATTAAATGAAAAGAAAATGATACAGGTCTACAGAATTACCTGTTAAAATATTCCAATACATCGCCACATACGTATATATCCGCACATCTCTAAACTACTGAGTAAACACGTACCATTACATTTATCCACACAGCACTAACTACTTATTAGACACATACAATGTATCTTCTTCTGGACTAACATTATACACAATGTTAACTCAAAAATACTCATAATCATCTCTATACACAATTTTCAGTTTTTTTAACATTCAATTATTTGTTGGGTGGAGGGGGGGTGGTCTTCTTAAAGTTATTTCCTTTCTGACACAAAAAGCCGATTCTTAAAAGGTCCACCCCTAGAATCTGTCACAAGACTAGAGAACCCACTAGAGTATCTTACCTCCCTTGACCAAGTTTGAGTTAAAGCTATTTATCATCATTAGCATTGTCTACGACTAACAAGAACATGTTTTTAGAATATAGTTTAAATAAAACCTTACGGAAGCATAATTTAAGTTATAAAAAATGAAAAGTAAATTATGTAACTACAGAATTACATATACATTTTATAAGGTAACATTTTTAACTATACAACTTAACAAGACCAGGCCCAAACTGATAATACTATTTAATAGTAAATAAAATCACATAAAACAAATAATTTATTAACCCCATAATAAGTTAATAATTTATTAAACATACTATTAATAATGTTGCTGTGAAAAATCCCCATTAAAATACCTAAACAAGTTTAGTTCCGGTCGCTAGGCGTAGTAGTTTGGTGAGATGAGCAGGTCAGTGAGGATCATCAGCTGGTCATCTGTGAACATGCGCTTGTGGTCATGCCAGTTATCATGGTGGGTGCGCCGGAAATTGGAGAGGGTTTTAGTAACTGTCATCTGCAATTGTAAGGACATTTGCATAAATTTCAGAGACTGTGTGATGTGGTTTTAAATAAAATATTTCATCCAGTTATAATGTGGGTTTGTTTAAAATATAACTCCTTCAATGAAGCTTGTTAAAATAAATGAGAACAAGTTACACTTTTTAACTTGTAAAGTACATTAATCCTCAGTGTAGCTATGAGTAGTCTTATGAACAAAATGTACTAACTAATAAATACTGATACAAAAAGTAGTCCATATATAATTTAAATAGATAAACTCCTTAAACTGTATCTCATGTTTCCACACAGCTATAACTTAAAATTTTTTTACAATAATCTAACCTATAAGATTATTATTGTCTCACCCAGAAGATTAACTATCTAATCTATTGGAAAGAAAATTAACTTTAATCTCACTAAATGTCTAGATGATTAACAATAATCTTCTGCATAAGATAAACTATAACTAAAAGACTAACTATAATCTACTCAGTAAGATTATTTACTAAAAGGTTAACGATAATCTATCCAGTAAGATTAACTATAACTAAAAGATTAACTCTAATCTACCCTGTAAGATTAACTCTAATCTACCCTGTAAGATTAACTCTAATCTACCCAATAAGATTAGCTCTAATCTCACCCCAATAGGCTGTGGATCATTCACGTGTAAACTGATGTCCACCAGGACTTGTGGGATAAACTCTGGCACATCATACGGGTACGCCTGTATACATGCACTGAGCCCCAGCACACCAGCGTGTCGCTTGATCAGCTGCTTCAGGGACACGTTCTCTTGGGCCGAGTGTTTGCGTGCTTTCACTTTGGTGCTCCGTAACCTTTCAAAGTGCTCCTATGGAGGGGAGACAAAGCACTTGAGAAAATGTTGATAGAAAATATTTCTTAGAACACTGACTGTTTCAAGCCAGAATTTTTTTTTTAACTCCCAGAATATTTTTATGGTCAGTGTGATGACGTAAACTTGGATATTTTAGAAATAAGTCAAGCAGTAGAGAACAAAGAGAGGTAAGAGCCAATAGAATACTCTGACTAATTAGAAATGAGTTGACTGGATATGTGTGATGGTCAGCGTGTTAGTGAAATATTACCGCAGTTAGGCATAGATAGTGCTAGATGCCATTTGAGTTGAGTTTGGATTGTGAATTAGGAAGTTAAGAGTCCGGTAGGTTTTTAATTATTAGAAAGTGATAGATAGGTAGAAGAAATAGTGTTTGAGAGAGTAGATGACAGTAGGAGGGATAGGATTGGGAGTAAGTAGATTTGTTCATATAATAAAAAAACTTATAGATCATTGAATTTATAACTGTGAGTTGTTTTATTCACACTGGAGAGTCAGTACAGTATTCTAATGAAGGAGTCGATCCCCTTATTGAAATAAAATAGATTTAACTAATATATTATACCCTCACCTCAGTCAGCATTAGGGTAATTGTTATAATTGTGGTAAGGGAAGTGAAACAAGCTGTGAAAGGCCAGATAAATTTTTAGAAGTATCAACCATTTATTTTTTAAAAGGCTATGTCAGAGCTGTGAACAAAAGGCTAGAGAACATTCCTGAAATGAAACAGCTAGGGTGGGTTACTCTGTTCTAGTTACAGAAAGTGTAGATGGCTGGACAAAAACCAACCCCTTATTTGACAAGATCACAGAAATATTTTAATCTGCCTTCATGTGCCCAATTGATCAATAACTTTCTTACTTTACATCAAATAAAAATTGTCTACCTGTACTCTAATTGTCTCTATATCATAAGGTTTATACGAGTGGTCAGAGAACTTACTAGCATGTCCTTGTCTAGCTCCAGGTAATTGCAGTGAATGACCCCACTTAGTGTCATGGCTGCCATCTCTCTCACCTGTGGATGTCACAGAACACATTTCAGATCGCACACTTTTTAAATCTCTTGCACTAAACAAGTGTGAAAATGTTAGTACTAAAAGAGTTGTACAATATTTGGAACAATTATTTTTAGCACCCTTGAACACCAGTTATACATATAATTGCTTTGAGAACATCTAACCCCAACATGACCACATCAAGTTTTGAGAACCTCTGCCCTAACATGACAACATGAGTACCTTTAGCCCCAACATGTGTACCTCTAGCCCTAACATGAGAACCTCTAGCCCCAACATGAGAACCTCTAGCCCCAACATGAGTACCTCTATCCTAACTTTACAACATGAGAAACTTTAGCCCCAACATGAGTACCTTTAGCCCCAACATGAGTACCTTTAGCCCCAACAGACCTCTAGCCCCAACATGAGTACCTCTATCCTAACTTTACAACATGAGAAACTTTAGCCCCAACATGAGTACCTTTAGCCCCAACATGAGTACCTTTAGCCCCAACAGACCTCTAGCCCCAACATGAGTACCTCTATCCTAACTTTACAACATGAGAAACTTTAGCCCCAACATGAGTACCTTTAGCCCCAACATGAGTACCTCTATCCTAACTTTACAACATGAGAAACTTTAGCCCCAACATGAGTACCTCTATCCTAACTTTACAACATGAGAACCTCTAGCCCCAACATGAGTACCTCTATCCTAACTTTACAACATGAGAAACTTTAGCCCCAACATGAGTACCTCTATCCTAACTTTACAACATGAGAAACTTTAGCCCCAACATGAGTACCTTTAGCCCCAACATGAGTACCTTTAGCCCCAACAGACCTCTAGCCCCAACATGAGTACCTCTATCCTAACTTTACAACATGAGAAACTTTAGCCCCAACATGAGTACCTTTAGCCCCAACATGAGTACCTTTAGCCCCAACAGACCTCTAGCCCCAACATGAGTACCTCTATCCTAACTTTACAACATGAGAAACTTTAGCCCCAACATGAGTACCTTTAGCCCCAACATGAGTACCTCTATCCTAACTTTACAACATGAGAAACTTTAGCCCCAACATGAGTACCTTTAGCCCCAACATGAGTACCTTTAGCCCCAACAGACCTCTAGCCCCAACATGAGTACCTCTATCCTAACTTTACAACATGAGAAACTTTAGCCCCAACATGAGTACCTTTAGCCCCAACATGAGTACCTTTAGCCCCAACAGACCTCTAGCCCCAACATGAGTACCTCTATCCTAACTTTACAACATGAGAAACTTTAGCCCCAACATGAGTACCTTTAGCCCCAACATGAGTACCTTTAGCCCCAACAGACCTCTAGCCCCAACATGTGTACCTCTATCCTAACTTTACAACATGAGAAACTTTAGCCCCAACATGAGTACCTTTAGCCCCAACATGAGAACCTCTAGCCCCAACATGTGTACCTCTATCCTAACTTTACAACATGAGAAACTTTAGCCCCAACATGAGTACCTTTAGCCCCAACATGAGAACCTCTAGCCCCAACATGAGAACCTCTAGCCCCAACATGAGTACCTCTATCCTAACTTTACAACATGAGAAACTTTAGCCCCAACATGAGTACCTTTAGCCCCAACATGAGAACCTCTAGCCCCAACATGAGTACCTTTAGCCCCAACATGAGTACCTTTAGCCCCAACAGACCTCTAGCCCCAACATGTGTACCTCTATCCTAACTTTACAACATGAGAAACTTTAGCCCCAACATGAGTACCTTTAGCCCCAACATGAGAACCTCTAGCCCCAACATGAGAACCTCTAGCCCCAACATGAGTACCTCTATCCTAACTTTACAACATGAGAACCTCTAGCCCCAACATGAGTACCTCTAGCCCCAACATGAGAACCTCTAGCCCCAACATGAGTACCTCTATCCTAACTTTACAACATGAGAAACTTTAGCCCCAACATGAGTACCTTTAGCCCCAACATGAGTACCTCTATCCTAACTTTACAACATGAGAAACTTTAGCCCCAACATGAGTACCTTTAGCCCCAACATGAGTACCTTTAGCCCCAACAGACCTCTAGCCCCAACATGAGTACCTCTATCCTAACTTTACAACATGAGAAACTTTAGCCCCAACATGAGTACCTCTATCCTAACTTTACAACATGAGAAACTTTAGCCCCAACATGAGTACCTTTAGCCCCAACATGAGTACCTTTAGCCCCAACAGACCTCTAGCCCCAACATGAGTACCTCTATCCTAACTTTACAACATGAGAAACTTTAGCCCCAACATGAGTACCTTTAGCCCCAACATGAGTACCTTTAGCCCCAACAGACCTCTAGCCCCAACATGAGTACCTCTATCCTAACTTTACAACATGAGAAACTTTAGCCCCAACATGAGTACCTTTAGCCCCAACATGAGTACCTTTAGCCCCAACAGACCTCTAGCCCCAACATGAGTACCTCTATCCTAACTTTACAACATGAGAAACTTTAGCCCCTCCATGAGAAGTTTTAGCCCCACCATGACAACATGAGAACCTCTAGCGCCACCGTGAGAACATGAGAACCCCTAGCCCCACCATGACAACATGAGAACCTCTAGAGCCAGAGGGAGAACATGAGAACCTCTAGCCCCACCATCCATGTACTTCAGTCTGTACCTCCAGCTGCTCATCACAGAGCAGGTGCAGCAACATTTCCTGTATCATCTTCTTGTGGTCCACCTGCTGCAGGAGGAAGAAGTTGCCAAACACCATCTGCTGCATGTAGTTGAGGATGTTGGCTCTAGCGTGCCAGGACTGTAGGCCAGCCACCTGTGGAGACAGACAGACATTTAGGCAAAGATGGCAGAGATTTGAAAAGGGAACTTTACTTACTTTAGTCTCATGTAAAAGCCTAAAATGTACAGTATGAACAAACCTGCCAGCTCTGTTTGACACTGTGTGAAACACTAGACAGTACCAGTTCTATACTACTGCACATGTATCATGGATTTGCTCAACATAACTTGTTTGCAACTAGACCTTACCTCTTTTATTGTGGACAGTACCAGTTCTATAGAATCCTCCTGTACAAATATCATGGATAAGTTCAACATAACTTGTTTGCAACTAGACCTCACCTCTTTTATTGTGGACAGTACCAGTTCTATAGACTCCTCCTGTACAAGTATCATGGATAAGTTCAACATAACTTGTTTGCAATCTTCTCTCAGATCTTCATCATTTGCCTCACTCTGGAGATTCTCAATCTAAACAAAAAAAAGTGTCCAAAAAAATATCATCCAGAATATATGATCCAAAAAATATTTATGGCAATCTATAGGTTAGTTACAATTTTGTGGAAGTTTATTTTTGTACAATAAGACATGCATATTCTCATGTTAAAATTTTAAATTTAATTGTAAGAAGACCTACATTAAAAATAAACAGTGTCCACCTCAGACCTTTTGTTCTACTATAGATCATGAAGTAGTTAGACCAAGTTAAAATTACTTACAATGGGTAAAAGTAGAAAGACTTCATCAGAACAAGGGTTTAAGCTTTTACTGAAACAGGTAGACACCATCTGTACCACTGGAAGCAACAACAAAGTATAAGATGTATTTGTTTACATTTTTATACCAGCAAAAATAGAATAATATGAAGACCAAAAGATAAATTTAAAGCAATCTTGAAAATTTAAAAAAATCTTACTAACTATAGTGACTTAAAGCACTTAAGAACCATGGCGACTTAGAGAAAACCTATACATGAACTTCAAAACAATGGAGACTTAAAGCTAGCCTACATGTGACCTTAATAACAATGCTGCCTTAAAGCAAGAATACAGATAACCTTTAGAACCAAGAGACTTAAAGCCCCCACAAGCCCATTGATGATTTATGTACCTGTTTTACACAAACGAACAGCTGCTTTCTTCTCATCTGAATCCTCTACACTAGCTGTCTCCCCATTTTCTGGTGCTGAAGCTGCTGTAATCAAACCAGAACAAAATTTGATACCTTAACGTTGTTAATTTTTAAAATATATATATAATTAATTAACAATGTTTTGTATAGTCTGCTTTCCCTATAGGTATGTAAAATACTACTTGTAATAATAGTGAAATTCTTTCTAGAGGGAATGTAGTCAATTAGCAAATATAGACCTTACTTGTCAAACAAACAAAAAAACAACAAAACAATTACCTCCCCTGGTAGGGGACTCTCTTGACAACAGAAATTACCTCCCAGGGTAGGCAATGTCCTGTAGCAATTTTTTTTACCTCCCCTGCTATTAACAACTTTTATAAACAAAAATATTACCTCCCCTGGTAGTCTGTACACAGTCTTTAAACTGCTCCAGCTGAGGTAGAACTGACTTAATTAAATCACCACGCTGGGGTGATCGTACTACACATTGGCTCTTGATCTTAAAATCAGTGTGAAGACAGGAACTTAGCAGCCTAAAGCAAAAAACAAAAGAAACAATGTAAATATAAGGTTAGCAATGATTGGATAAAGCACTGATACAGTGATTTATTAAAGACAAGGTTCAGTTTTATGAATAAATATTATTTTCTAGGAAAATAATTAGATGAAAATCTAAAACGGCTCATCTAATTAAAGTATATGTTTATTAATATACTTTAGCTTGCAACTTTAAAACCTAGAATATATAAAAAACACAAGTTTTGATTTTGTATTATTGGGTTAAAAATAAAGCCAACTGACAGGCTAAATATAAACATACGAGCCCACCCGCTGCGTATCATACGCCGCTATTTAGTTGTTTTTTTTCTACTTTTCAGTAATTTATAATTTGTGAATTCGACAGTACCAATGCTGCCACTGAAAATATTTGCTTAAAAACACTAAACCCCCCCCCTTCCCCCCCCCCCACGTGAAAGCAGCCTCCTCTTAGTTACCTCCTCTAAGTTTAAAATCGTTTCAAACTAAATTATCTGCCCCTAATAGCCGTAACCAAACCCGGCTCTATGATTGTAAAATGTAAACAGCGTGAACCACAGCTCACCATACCATGTGAGGGGGTGGGGGGTGGGGGGGTGGTAGCGATAGAGAGGAAGAGAGGGGACTGTAATGCGCGCTTGCAGCTTGTTTTCTAACGGTTCCCAGAAGAGAATTATATATATAGATTAAAATACTAATGTCCTTACGAGCCCATTCTGTCGCGCACATTCTTGTAATTATGATCCATGTGTGGTCTAAGGTACTGGACAATGGCATGGAGGTAGCCTGGTATCCTCCACTCTTGTTGCAGTATAGCCTGTTGTAACATAAACAGCCGTCTGAAAAAAATAGCACAAGCACCTTTGATCATATGGCATATAACTGGAGCACACATTTTAAAATCAGCTTATCTATTTTAAGCCAAGCCTGTTCTCATTTCTGATCTAAATATAGCTGGATACACTTAACAAGCTGATATATATACACATGTTTATTTTTGTTTTTTGCTCCTGCCTTCACATTGATTTTAAGCTAAACATAAGTTTAAAATAATTTGTAACGTCTTTTGTACAAAAGAATAATAGTGAAAGATTTCACTCACGCAGAATCGCCAAATGTTCCACCCTCCCCACTCAGGGGGTTTGTGAGCAGTATTTTATAAAGCCATTGCAACTTCTGTGGTGCACGGTTTTCCTAAAGACATAGTAAATATTTATAACACAATGTGACAACTAGCATTCACACACTAAGGGACACAACTTCAATTTCAAGTTTTTTTTAACAGTACTGTTTAAGTTTTCACAAAGGGACACAATTTAAATTACAAATTATTTATAACAGCATAGCATATTATCATACATTTTTAAACAAAAAGAGACACAACTTGAATTAAACGCATAGAATTATAGAGAGTACTCACACAAATATAGAGGAAAAAGTTTCCCCAGTCAGAAATGGTATCAATAGTAATGTTGTTCAACACATTCTCCAGTAGAGGGCTAATCCAGGCCCACAAACTCACAAGCTGCAAGTCAAAGGAAACCAATCATTGACAAACAAGATACAAATGTAATGGGTCTATAACAGGGGTCGGCAACCTGCGGCTCGCGAGCCGCATGCGGCTCTTTTGATATCAAGATGGGGCTCTCCAGCTCCTTGCACAAATACTAATAATCTTAATAAATAATAAAATATTTGAAATAAAAAAAATGTTAGTGGCTCTTTAAAACCAGGGAAGTTTTGAAAATTGTAACATTTGGCTCTTCCGCTTCAAAAGGTTGCCGACCCCTGGTCTATAAGGAAAATATAATAAATTAATACTTGTAATCTGATTTTAAACAAGATATGATGTACCTTACCTTAAGGCTCTACTTTTTTTATATTACACTAGAGCTTTGATATACTTTTACCTTATTATAAGCCAGAGCTTACATGTACTTTACTTTTTTTATTAGACTAGAGCTTAGATGTTCTTTTACCTTATTATAAGGCCAGAGGTTAGTTACACTTTCACATTTCTCTGATGCTAGAGCTATCATTTTCTATACCTTATGGTTAGGCCTGAACTTAGATGTAATTTACCTTAGGATAATGCCAGAACTTAAGCATACTGTACCTGGGTATAAGGCCAGAGCTAAGTTGAAATTTTACCTTAGGATAAGGCCAGAGCTTAAATGTACTGTACCTAGGTATAAGGCCAGAGCTAAGTTGAAATTTTACCTTAGGATAAGGCCAGAGCTTAAACCTACATTACATTAGGACAAGACCAGAGCTAAGTTGAAATTTTACCTTAGGGTAAGGCCAGAGCTTAGAGCCAGATATAATTCCCCCCAGGACCTCCATGGCACACCTCTGACTGCTGGCATGCTTGTCATGGCTTGTGTCTTGGATGAGCTTTTCAATGTGTTGTTTAAACTTGGGTAGAAAGGTATCTCCAAAGTTACGGAACATAACCTGAAACAAACAAAACATTTTTTTTTAGTCTTTTGGAGAATGGGTCGACTTAGAGGCTGACCACAAGATTTGTAAAAAAATGTACAAAAAGTTCAATACTGCACAATATTGGAAGTAATAAGCCCAGTGTAGCTAACAGCTCATTGTTTTCAAAAACTACTTCCTAGTTACCTTGAAGAACTTCAATATAGATTGTCTGAACTTGTCTGTGTTCTTCTCCTCCTCCAGTGCAAGAAACTCAAACATTTTGGCCACACAGTCATCATTCATGAAGAAATCATAAATTGGTTTTTCTGAGTCAGGGAGTTCCTCCCTTTTTCTGTCCAGTTTTGGCAGTTCATCATACGGAGCATTGGTTTCCAGCTCTCTGGCAATACAAACGGAACAAATTATTAAAGGTGTATCCATTTCTTTCTTAACAAACATAAACATTTTCAAAGTTTAAAAAAATGTTTGTGGATCTTAGTCTAAGTACAGCAAATAATGAGCTGGCTTCAAATTTAAATTTTCTTTTTACAGATTGAGATTGATGCAATGTTGGTTTTCTATTGTAACAATATGTCTATAACCATTACTTTAAGTAAGATAAAAGTTAAACCACCTCAACAAGATTTTAATGAAACAATTAAATGAAACAAATTACTTTGGCCAAGTGTAATATCCCCAATGAGTTTTCTCAATGAAAACTGTTTTATTCCACTCTTCTTCTGTTTTGATAAAATTTTTAGGATCAAACTGGAGCCATTCGTTATCCGGCCTGTCCCCAGGAGCAAGGGAGCTGAGATCCAGGTGGCTGACCCCTGAGGCTTTGGCTATGTCCACTATGATCTTCTTAGGCTTTCTTTTCTGCAGCTCCATTATTGTCGTCAGGAAATTATAGGAGAGCTGCATCAAGAAATAGGTTCATACATAAATGTTGCACTAGCCAATATCAACAGGTATCTAAATATGTGTTCATACATTAATGTTGGGCTAACCAATATGATTAGGTCTCTGAATATGTTCATTGATTTCTTTTTGTGTTTTATGTTATAAGGGAAGTGTATGCTAAGTTCTATTGCAATATTAATAGAGCAAAATTTATAAAAAGAAAAAGTTTTTATTTAATCAATGTAAGAAGTCGAATATGTATTTAGGACATTGGTTCTTCACCTTTTCATATGCACATTCACCAAACCCTCCTTAATAGTTTTATAATTCGCACTGACAATATTCGATTGTGAATCATATGAGTCGGGCATGTCTTGACCTACACCAAACCCCCGAGACTGACTCACTGAACCCATGGGACTCGATTAAACTCAGGTTAAAAAACCAGTTATTTAGGGTATTGTTACGTATTTCTGGATGATTTGTCATCAAGGGTTTCATGGTTCTGATGTTACAGAGTTAAATAGAAGCAAAAATACAATTTTTTTATTGCTTCACTTGAAAAAAAACAGCAAATGGTAGTGTTTTATCACAATGTTTAAACAGAACGTAACTCACAGCAGAAGACAGTCTTAGTTGTGACTAGCCTAACTCACAGCAGAAGACAGTCTTAGTTGTGACTAGCCTAACTCACAGCAGAAGACAGTCTTAGTTGTGACTAGCCTAACTCACAGCAGAAGACAGTCTTAGTTGTGACTAGCCTAACTCACAGCAGAAGACAGTCTTAGTTGTGACTAGCCTAACTCACAGCAGAAGACAGTCTTAGTTGTGACTAGCCTAACTCACAGCAGAAGACAGTCTTAGTTGTGACTAGCCTAACTCACAGCAGAAGACAGTCTTAGTTGTGACTAGCCTAACTCACAGCAGAAGACAGTCTTAGTTGTGACTAGCCTAACTCACAGCAGAAGACAGTCTTAGTTGTGACTAGCCTAACTCACAGCAGAAAACAGTCTTAGTTGTGACTAGCCTAACTCACAGCAGAAGACAGTCTTAGTTGTGACTAGCCTAACTCACAGCAGAAGACAGTCTTAGTTGTGACTAGCCTAACTCACAGCAGAAGACAGTCTTAGTTGTGACTAGCCTAACTCACAGCAGAAGACAGTCTTAGTTGTGACTAGCCTAACTCACAGCAGAAGACAGTCTTAGTTGTGACTAGCCTAACTCACAGCAGAAGACAGTCTTAGTTGTGACTAGCCTAACTCACAGCAGAAGACAGTCTTAGTTGTGACTAGCCTAACTCACAGCAGAAGACAGTCTTAGTTGTGACTAGCCTAACTCACAGCAGAAGACAGTCCTAGTTGTGACTAGCCTAACTCACAGCAGAAGACAGTCTTAGTTGTGACTAGCCTAACTCACAGCAGAAGACAGTCTTAGTTGTGACTAGCCTAACTCACAGCAGAAGACAGTCTTAGTTGTGACTAGCCTAACTCACTGCAGAAGACAGTCTTAGTTGTGACTAGCCTAACTCACAGCAGAAGACAGTCTTAGTTGTGACTAGCCTAACTCACAGCAGAAGACAGTCTTAGTTGTGACTAGCCTAACTCACAGCAGAAGACAGTCTTAGTTGTGACTAGCCTAACTCACAGCAGAAGACAGTCTTAGTTGTGACTAGCCTAACTCACAGCTGAAGACAGTCTTAGTTGTGACTAGCCTAACTCACAGCAGAAGACAGTCTTAGTTGTGACTAGCCTAACTCACAGCAGAAGACAGTCTTAGTTGTGACTAGCCTAACTCACAGCAGAAGACAGTCTTAGTTGTGACTAGCCTAACTCACAGCAGAAGACAGTCTTAGTTGTGACTAGCCTAACTCACAGCAGAAGACAGTCTTAGTTGTGACTAGCCTAACTCACAGCAGAAGACAGTCTTAGTTGTGACTAGCCTAACTCACAGCTGAAGACAGTCTTAGTTGTGACTAGCCTAACTCACAGCAGAAGACAGTCTTAGTTGTGACTAGCCTAACTCACAGCAGAAGACAGTCTTAGTTGTGACTAGCCTAACTCACAGCAGAAGACAGTCCTAGTTGTGACTAGCCTAACTCACAGCAGAAGACAGTCTTAGTTGTGACTAGCCTAACTCACAGCAGAAGACAGTCTTAGTTGTGACTAGCCTAACTCACAGCAGAAGACAGTCTTAGTTGTGACTAGCCTAACTCACAGCAGAAGACAGTCTTAGTTGTGACTAGCCTAACTCACAGCAGAAGACAGTCCTAGTTGTGACTAGCCTAACTCACAGCAGAAGACAGTCTTAGTTGTGACTAGCCTAACTCACAGCAGAAGACAGTCTTAGTTGTGACTAGCCTAACTCACAGCAGAAGACAGTCTTAGTTGTGACTAACCTAACTTACAGCAGAAGACAGTCTTAGTTGTGACTAGCCTAACTCACAGCAGAAGACAGTCTTAGTTGTGACTAGCCTAACTCACAGCAGAAGACAGTCTTAGTTGTGACTAGCCTAACTCACAGCAGAAGACAGTCTTAGTTGTGACTAGCCTAACTCACAGCAGAAGACAGTCTTAGTTGTGACAGCAGAAGACACACACAGATTTTTTTTGTACAGGTTCCACTCACCTTTCTGATGTACAGCAGGTCACTGATGCAGTTTTTCACAAACAAAGAAACCAACTGAGGGGAAGTCTCCACTTGCTCAAACAGAAGTAAACTTAAAAACTCAAACCCTCTCTGGCTAAACTTCCAGGTACTGAAACAAAATGTTACAAGTTATGACTAGAATCATGTGCTAGTAGGTGGAGTAATAATAGTCCACTTGGCCCTATCATTCAATGTACTTTTTTATTACTTTAACATATTACTTTCATTAGTTATTAATGAAATTCTGATTGCAATTTTTTTTATCCTTATATTGAACACAAATTAAGTTGCCTAAATCATACTTGTACAGTTTAATGTAATATTATTTTGGTAAAATTTAGTCTGTTAAGAAATGTAAATTAAAAAAAAGAACTCAACAGTTTTCCACATTCAACAAGGTGCAGAAGCTCCTGTATAAGACTCTTGTATTTCCTTCAAGAAAAAAAACGTGGGCAAAAATGTATTGAAAAAGAAGATATATTAAGATTTTTAGCTTCTTTTTGTGTAGGCTACATGTTTAACCTGTCTAATATATATAATTTAGACGATTATTCTATTTTATTAAAGAAGGGTCTAACCATTATAAATTAGCTTCATTGTACTTTGTAGACACAAGCAGTCTAAAAAGGACTCTTCCCAAAGTCCCACATACACCCCACATTTGGTGGAGCAGATGACTTAACAAAATTGTATTCTAAATAATATATGAAGCTATCTACCTAACATATAGTTATCTACCTTGTATACAGTTATCTTACTTACATATAGTTATCTACCTTGTATACAGTTATCTTACTTACATACAGTTATCTACCTTGTATACAGTTATCTTACTTACATACAGTCATTTACCCTGTATAAAGTTATCTACCTTACATATAGTTATCTACCTTGTATACAGTTATCTAACTTACATACAGTTATTTACCCTGTATACAGTTATCTATCTTACATAGAGTTATCTACCCTATATACAGTTATCTAACTTACATACAGTTATCTACCTTGTATACAGTTATTTACCTTATATACAGTTATTTACCCTGTATACAGTTATCTACCTTACATACAGTTATCTACCCTGTATACAGTTATCTAACTTACATTTCTAATTCACTGTTGCAGGTGTTCTCAAACTGGAGCCCGTCCTGTAATTCTGCATCACTGGCAGCACTAGCTTTAGGCAGGGGCTGTGTACAGTCTACAATGAGTCTAGTGGCTGCACTGATCACCTCATCACAGGTCTACAGAAGCATTGAAGTTTTATTTTATGGACATAATGACAATGATACATGCATTATGTTATGGTAAATTCAACATTCTAACCTTTATAAAATGTAAATATAATTAGTTTTAAATTAAACTGGTATCACATTCATATGTATAAAAACATTAAGAAAATATAATTAACATTACATATATGAAATAGGATAAACACCACAATAATAAAATAGAATCAAAATTACATTTAAGAAACTAAAATACATTGATGTTTTGTAGAATATTTATCTAAGTATCACAGGTAAATGCTTCAAGCAAGTAAATCTTGTACTACAGATCAGTACTTAAATGAGCAGCCCTCACCTTTATAGTAATAGCAAAAGTTTCAAAGCCTTAATGACCAGCCCTTACTTTATCATCATTTTCCATTTGTGCCCAAGACACATGAGGCAGATGAAGTAGAGTTCATCTGCTTCAGAGAACTCAGCATATGAAGGGATAGCATGGTCAGCACTATGCCCAGGTGACTTTTTTGCCAACATGAGTTAGGCACCCTTCACAGCTGGGTGAAACGTTCTACTGGCTTGAACCCAGATTCAAGCTTAAGACTCTCAGGTTAGCAGTCTAGATATCTACCGCTAGGCTACACTGTCCTATCTTACCTTTATAGTAATAGCAAATGTTTCAAAACCAAAATGACCAGTGCTCACCTTTACAGTAATGGCAAACATCTCAAAACTTTAAAGAGTAGCCCTTACCTTTATAGTAATAGCAAATGTCTCAAAACTTTAAAGAGTAGCCCTCACCTTTATAGTAATAGCAAATGTCTCAAAACCTTAAAGAGTAGCCCTCACCTTTATAGTAATAGCAAATGTCTCAAAGCCTTAAAGAGTAGCCCTCACCTTTATAGTAATAGCAAATGTCTCAAAACCTTAAAGAGTAGCCCTCACCTTTATAGTAATAGCAAATGTCTCAAAACCTTAAAGAGTAGCCCTCACCTTTATAGTAATAGCAAATGTCTCAAAGCCTAAATGACCAGCCCTTACCTTTATAGTAATAGCAAATGTCTCAAAGCCTTTAAAGACTTTGTTCATAATGTCCTCAATGACTTTGAGGATGGAAGGCTTCTCAAACTGCTGGGCCTGCACCAGAGCTGGCCACAACTTTGATAGAGTGTCCCAGTCACGTTTGATGGCCAGACATGACTTAGCACCCTGACCTTGTATGGTATACAAAGTGCCCTTAAAACAAACATAAAGAAGATATCAAACAGAAAATTAACTCATCATATTATCTTTTTTTTAAAATAAGTGACTATATTAAAATTAGGTTTTCGACAGTAAAATAAAAATTCTAGAGTTTTTTTTGTTTAAAAAAATAATTATAAAGTTAAAATATGAATATGATTTTTGTTTAAAAATTGGTATTTATATGATTAAAGAAACAAGTTCAATAGAACATACATCAAACCAACAAATCTTAACAAAACAGATGTTGTGGTTAAAGTTACAGTAACCAAGTTCTATAGAACACACATTACATCAACAAACCTTAAACAGATATTGTGGTTAGAGTTACAGTAACCAAGTTCTATAGAACACACATTACACCAACAAACCTTAAACAGATGTTGTGGTTAGAGTTACAGTAACCAAGTTCTATAGAACACACATTACACCAACAAACCTTAAACAGATGTTGTGGTTAGAGTTACACTAACCAAGTTCTATAGAACACACATTACACCTACAAACCTTAAACAGATGTTGTGGTTAGAGTTACAGTAACCAAGTTCTATAGAACACACACTACACCAACAAACCTTAAACAGATGTTGTTCAGGCTCAGGATTTTTCAGGTTTTCAACCAGCTGGACTAAACAGGTACGATAGGAATAAGCAAAAGTTCTGAATGCTTGGTGCAGGCAGGACTGAGCTCTTTTACGAACCTAAACAGTTGGGGAAAATTTGGAAATGCAGCATAATATTGTATACATGTTAGATACATTGTTAATTTACACAGCCAATTTTCATAATGAATGCAAAATATAAGACCTGCTCTTCACATGACCTTCACATATGACTTACACACCACATGTGTTCTACACAACACAGGAACTACACAACACAGAAACTACACTATAAGAACTACAAACAACATGGCCTTACACACCATATGGCTAACACACTACATATAATCTATACATGTTCAACACAACACATGTTCACTACACTATAAGAACTACACACCATATGGTGTACAAAACACAAGGCCCACTACACACCATTAAAAAAAAACCTAGACACCAATGACCTACCTCCCTGTATCTACTAACTGAGAGCTGTAGCAGGTCATGTAGAATATCTTCATGTCTTTTTGTAAAATCACGATCACAGCAATTTAAAGTTCTTAACTGGAAAAAAATTAAAATCTAATTACTAACCATTTATAAATTAGTAAACAATTAAAAAGTAATTTTTAAACTTGTTTGTTTCTTTGATATCTTGTTTTTACAAAGGCAAGTGAAAATAACTAGCCAACATCAACCTACCTCATGATGTAGTTGAAGACGATCTATGAGTAAAGCTCTCAAATGTCTTTTTCTTGTCAGCAGCTAAGATAGAAATATAAAATATACCAGTTGAGTGAAACGACACACCAGTTTCCCAATTCTATCATAAACTTCACAAAGAGAAAAATTTCCTAATCAAATGATAGTAAACTGGATAAATGTTGTAAATGATGTAGAACTTCAAAATTCATTTATAGGTGAGCTATAAAAGCACTGCTTTTAATTGGAACTTTAAATACATAATAATTAACATCCAAACATTAACAGAACAACTAAAAGAGAAAAATGTAATTTCAAAAAATTACATTGTAGATGAATTTCTTTAAATTAACATAAAATTATGAATAATTTGATATTAAAAGAATTCCACGGACTAAAAATAAGTGTATAGATAATACAAGAGTTAAAATTAGTAATATAAACTAAACATGCGCTGGTTAGACTTACTTGGTTCTCTAAGGTTGTTTTAACAATGTGAAAACTTTTCCATCTCCCATCAAACTCAGACTTGACTGTCCCATAATGCAACATTAATACTTCATAGATCTTAAAGAACAAAACAAATTGACTCATTGAAAATAATTAAAATAACACAAATATAAGTTTTTTTTAGTATAACATTCATGGACAGGTGTTATGGTAAACCCAATTTGAATGCAAAAATATCCTTGATTCATAAATCTCTTTCAGCTTAAAATTGTATATACTAATATGTGAAATGTCTTAATGACATTTTTATTAAGAAATATTGGTACATCTTTTATTGTCAACAGGGCTATACGATATAAGCCCAGCCATTGTTTTTTGTCAGCATGACTGATAAGGGTTAGGACCAGGATAAGGATAAAAGGGCCAAGTTTAGGATAAAGGCTAGTATTAGAGGAGGATTTTATATTAAAAAAAAAACAGCTTGTAATCTTAGAAGTCCCGAAATATCTTAATTCCATGCTAAAAGATTATTATAACAACAATCCTAACAAGTATAAAATATTAAATTCTGCAAGTTTCTTAACAAATAAGATCAGCAGTCCTAGAGAATACAATATAAAAGCTAGACCAAGAGTTCAGGGGTCAGTGTTTGTTTGAGTAGACTGTACAACTATTGAGTACTCACTTTGATTATGTGGAACATACTTTTTGTGTCGTCTTCTCTTGAAACACTCAAGTATTCTGGTGGAAAGGGAAGCAATTTATGTAGAACAAGAGAATTTAAACTACATAATAGACATTCAATACTTGATGTGTTGTACCAAGGGCACACCACTCTCTATACATAATAGATTATGGCAGACAGTAAATGCTGAAATAAAAGACTGAGATGTGTACAAGAAACAGCTGAAAGGTCGGGTGAGACTATTCATACTGAATACAATAATTTGAACTAATCATATTTTTAATCCAGTTTACTAAAAAAAAAATTAACGATACCTAAGAAAACATAATAATTTTTTTTTCTCAAATAAGTTTTTATCAAGGAAACATTTTTTTAAACTAAAGTGGGGAAAAGTAACTATTTAACTTGCAGCAAATATTTCAACATTAATGCAATAAATTCTAAGATAACATATTGATAAAATAATTATGGGATATTTTACTCACGTAGCAAATGTTTCATGGCAGTATGGATCAAAGCTCTGATGTTCTTCCCATTTAGAGTTAATACTGGAAACAGACAAATAAAATATGTCAAGGGCTCAATAAAATAACAGCTGAAATCTAAAAATAAACTGTGTGCATGTACATCCTTTTAAAATGACAGATGCTGCAATTTTCAAAATTGTATTGACATACACTTATTTTGTATAGAATACCTTAAGAAAGTAGTTATTTACCTTTGTTGTTACATATACTAAAACAGCTAAATCTTGATAAAGGAACCTGAGATTTCATTCTGTAATAAAACAATGTTCATTTAATAAGACTTAAAAACACAAGACACGTTCATAGCGTTTAGGTTATATTCTCAACAAAACAAACATTTTATTTTTAACTTGGCTGTTACATTTATATGACCAGTGGTCAGTTGGTCATTGTTGTTTAAGCAAACTTAATCCTTTGAGACCATACAAATATGAATCCAAAAAATTACTCACAGTTGAACTTTTTCACTTTCCCATGCAGGCAGGTGAGTTCCAGCACCAAGAACTACTTCTAAAACAATATTCAGTCGACGCAGAATGTCTTCTCTATAAAACCAAAAAATTAATCTTTTATTAATATGTAAATATAAGAAGGGGAAGGTGGGTTTGGTTGAAGTGTTAAAAATATGAATATTCTGATTATTAAAAAAAATAAACCGTTCTAAAATATGAATGTTAAATATTAACATTGTGATTATTATGAAGATAAATTATTCTGAAATATGAATATTCTGATTATTAATTAAAATTTTAGCATTTAAAAACAAATGAATAACAAGGAAAAATGATCTCATACTTGGATATTTCCTGTTCAGAAGAAATGCTTTGAAAAAGGTCAAGCTGGGGCTTGAGAAATGTGTCGACTAATTCTTGTACATAGTCCAGTTCTTCATCGGATGCTATGTGCCACTGGACGTCCAACTTCTTTATGTCACCAGCTACAGCCCAATCCTTTAAACAAACACAAAATTTTTTACTAACACATGGAAATACTGAAGGGATAAATCATCTAAAATATACTGGTGATTTACAACAAAGAAGAAGCTTATTGATATATCTGATGCAGACTTTACTAATGTTGGAAGTCAAAATAAAATTCAATATGTAGGTTTTAATAATAAAAACACACATAAAAAAGTAAAGAAACAAGTTTTATCAAAGCATCTGACCACATAACTTCATAAAACTCAACTACAATAACAAAACTGAAACACTAATAAAATGTAATTACCTTTATTGGTAGATATTCAGAATAAGGCTTATCAAAGTTATACGCCACACTTCGAAACTCCAGAGGATAAACCTGGGTCAGACTCTTCAGCAGATGTTTCAAAAGCTGGCCAGCCATCTCATACCCCTGGATACACTTGAGCTGAAGTGTTTTGTCCAGGACTGACAAAAGTTCTGACCTGTAGGGCAACAGCTTTGTCCCATCACATCTCACCACCTGATGTTATATACAGTAAGATGAACAGTATTTAGTAATGTATTGTTTTGAATCTTTGCCATGTTTCTTTAAGACCATATTAATTTAATAATCATCTCAGGTAACTAGCAAATGAAATGGAATTGCACATAAATAATACATGAATAATTACTTATGAGGTTTAATTTTTATTTTAAACCTAAATTTGTAAGTGGCGGCTTTCTATGCAGCTTGCAGAGGGGTGCAAGTAGTAGCATGTTGGTTGTTTTTTTTTTGGGGAGGTGGGATGCATAGTTGGGAGGAGTTTTAGGTAAGGGTAAGTAGGGTGGCATAGATTGTCAGACACTATTTTTTTGTCCAGTGTTACAAGAGAAAAGATTAGAATGAATATATAAACCAATGTATTTTAACATGCAAATAAAAGTAAATGTATCAGGAAAGTTGATGGCACAATGTCCACCACAAGAAAACATTGTTTTTATTCTTGCTGGTGAGACGTTATAAAGTTAATTGTTTATGTGGTTACGTGGCATTGGTGTAATTAGCAGCCCATAATTAGGTTTATTGTTTATGTGGCATTAGTGTAATTAGCAACACATAATTAGGTTTATTGTTTATGTGGTTATGTGGCATTAGTGTAATTAGCAACACATAAATAGGTTTATTGTTTATGTGGTTATGTGGCATTAGTGTAATTAGCAACACATAATTAGGATTATTGTTAATGTGGTTATGTTTATCATGACTTACATGTGAAAGCATTAAACAATTCCACAAAAACGTATTGTCCAAGGTGGTTTCTTCAAAAGTACCAGGATCTAAAGGACAGAAAAAAGCAACTTTTTTAATCTTTGTTTACAAGAACTAGATTCAATTATTTTTTTAATACAGATGGAAACAATAAGTACACAACATAATGAAAAATAGTGAGATTTCTGATTGTGTAAGAAATTAACATTTAAATACAACAACTATCAATTAGGAATTAATTTTTTAGTTAAAAAAAAAAAAAAACTACATACGATCTTCTAAGAACTTGAGAATACTTGAGCACAAACTAGGTAGAAACATTTTTAAAGCCACTTCAGGATTGATCTGAAAACAAAGAAACATCAGGTCAACAAAGCGTGAGACTTGGTAAAATTTAAAAAAAAAATTTTAAACTAAAAAAATACTGAATATAATTGACTTGGTTACCAAATTGACATATAAAGAAAATGTACAAGTTTACAAAATGTATGCATGTATACAATCGAGGCCTGATACATTACTACTTTAATCAACCATACTGAGAGTTAACTTACATAACAAAAACTGACCTAATACTGAACACCAAATGTATTTTGTAGGACACTGTGTGCAAGGTTTGTAAATACAAATAAGATTTGATTAGATTAATGTTTTGTTACGGTTTTAGACAACTTACTCGAACAGCCGCCCTGCATAAATTAGCTGCCAGTCTACCGCTGACTTTTATTTCAAACACATTGGAAGCTATAAAACTGTGAATTTTTTTTAAGGCACTCTGAAACAAAAGAAATTATTTTCAAACACTAGCTGTAGGAATTTTTAAAATTATTAAATGACAGATTTAGAAAAAAATACAATATTTTTTAAAAATGTATTAAACAGTGTAACTGATATTAAAATGAGTATAATGGTCATTGTTATCAAATTTTTATCATTTTCAAGTGACCAATTTAAAAAAAAAATCTGATGGCAGCAATGTGCTGACTTTTTTTTATAGCAGCTGTGTTGGTTGTTAATTAAGCTACAATCTCGTCATAGATATAGTACAATTTTTTAAATGTTTTTAAATAACCAAAACAAAAGTCATAAAATATGAGTAGCTTAAAAATTACAATAAAAAGGATACATGTGTTCACAATTCTAAAGTAATCCCAGCTTTTAAATAATTTCTTTGATAGAAGTTTAAAAAGCAGTTCCTTACAAGGTAAATAGCAGAAGAACACTGTTGTAACATAGCCGAGACTGTGGAGGCCAGGCCAACCTCAAGCACAGTCTGCTCTGGTGTCAGTCTCTCTGTCACCCCAACTGTTGACACTGTTGAACTGTTTTCTATCATTGTATGAACTCTGGGGGGGAAACAGCAGTGGATTGATTCAACAGTCATTGCAACAAGTAGTTCAACGTATGTGCTAGCTCATTTTAAAATATTCATACATATGTAATAGCTGATTTGCTATTTGAAATATATGAAATATTTTTATGAATGTATAAACTGATATCACAAGTGTTATTCCATTAAAAATGCTTTAAATATAAAAACGTTATACAACATGCATCTGCACTTTTCATATATTTTTTACTTATAAACAGGAACTAAACACTGCATTAATTTTACAGTTCTCTTGCTACAGGTATGTTAAAAACTGACCTGAATGCTGCAACTTACCTGTCTAGAAATGACAACACAAAATCCTCAAAGTGTGCAGTGGCACTGCATAGTTCCTTTTCCAGCTGTAGGGTGCAAAGTTCACAAGGTTAAAAACATGACAGTGAAATACAACACTCAATTTTTACAAAAAAACATGTGATGTTTTTATAGGGAACATTACAATTTATTAACAAACCTATAGGTTAAAATTAGATGCAGGATGAAGTTAAAATTAGAATAACAAAGAATGAGTTGGATATCTGAAATCAATGGTGCTAAAACCAATCTTAGATTGGTGGACTCATGGACATCTGAGATAAGATAATGTTCTTAAATTTTCATACAAAATTACCCTGTGATATATTGGTGGGCAAATACATGGTTCTCACTCTGGAACATCATCCAATGAATCAACAATTGGGATAATTGAAATAAAATGTGCTTCTCACCTCAGTCAACCCAGGAACCACATGAACAGCATCAGATGAATCAACAATTGGGATAAGTGAAATAAAGTTGGATATCATCTGTAGAGTTACCTGAAAATATTTTTTAATTTGATTAATTTCTAGAAAATTTTTCTAACAAAACTTTTACAACTATTTAACACATAAAAAAAACCAGCAGTAAATAAAATCTTCTATAGTCTTCTTATCACAAGTGTGAGGGAAATACATGAGTTTAATTAGGCATAAACCTTTGTCTATGACTGCAACAGATTAGACTTCCATTATTTTGTCATGTTTGAACAGTCACAATAAATACATACAATTTAACTGATATTTTTAATTTTACTTTCATTCAGACAAACATACACTTTAACCACCTACTCTTAAACAGGAACTTACCAAAGTTTTCCTGAAATCATTCGGGTCAATGCCAGGCAATGATAAATTTAAAAGTGGTATAACATGAGAGGGGCCTTCTGGGTAATATTTGTTTGAGGTGAGCATTGGTCTGACCACTGAGACAATGCATATCATACAGGCAATCAAGCGATGAGGTTCAATCAAAGTTTCCATAGCAGGATACATCCTGGAAAAAAATTATTTTCATTCATCAACACAAGGAAATTCATATCATATATAGTGTATGTTTACATATGTAGCCTAAATATTTATTGTATAACTGTGTAAGTGAATTATCCTTTCCTTGTTAACATATAAAGCATAATTCCTATTGTAATAAACTTGTTTGACATGAGAAAAATATCTTGCAGAAATTATTTACACAAAGTAATATGCTTTAAATTCTATTGATACGTCTAAGTCTATGCATTTCATATTGAAATTTAACTTCCAAAGGTTAACACATCTTTTTTAAAGCAAATTCACTTTTGATTTTTTTTAAATTCAAAAGAATTTTATCCAGATTAAATAAATACACTAGGAAAGTTTTATTATAAATGTTTAGCTTAAGTGGAAGAAAGAATAAAAAGAGTTAACTTCTTAACCTTAGTTTAACTGGGGACAGTGTGGTCTAGAGGTAAAACACACAATGGTTAACATGAAGTTAAAGTAAGGCTTATGAGTATAGCTCATGACAGTTGTGACCAGAAGAAGTCTATTTTTATTAAATAATCTTTTCCAAAAACTGACAGAAATTATTGGGCAAGAAAAAAATCTAGCGAATAGAAGAGCCGCTTACTTCTCTAGCAAAGGTGGCACCACTATCTCCGGTCTGAGTGTGGCCAGGCTTCTGAGGGCCATTGAGGCATCATGACTGCCAAACTTGCTGAACATGGCCACAAAGACAGAGGACTTTAGGCTCTCAACAAACTCAGTGACTTGCTTGTCACTCAGCTTAAACTCATCTGGTACTGGGGTCAGCCACTTCATTTGTTTGTAACGCTCTCTAAAACAAAAAAATGTGAATATTCATATCTGTGACATTATTTTTATATTCTTTTTAAAAAATCTTAAGTTTTACACACCATAAGTCTGGAAATAAAATCTGTTTAACATTCAGTATTTTTAAAAAACATTTTTCATTATTTTTATATTTTACCTCCTCAATCGCTTAACAAACATTTTTGGGAGGTTTTGTAAAAAAGATCCTAATCTCACCTGCAGATTAAAGAATTAGTAAATATGAAATAATGAGTTCTAAAATGTCCAATATTGTGATAGTTTCTATTGTCTGACTTCTCATTCAAACACAATTATAACACATTCGAATTTTAAGATAAAGTATAGCACAACAGCATAGGCATGCTAACTTCAACACAATTGCAAAAATAATTAATAATATTACTCAAATATTTATCTCTACTTTAACAACAATTAACTTATTTGCTACATACCAGTTAACTACATAATTAAAATCAATGAGAAGGAACAAATACTCACAGTCCATCTACCAACATTTGAGGGATGATAAAAAGAATGCAACGCTTTAAACAGCTGTGAGAGATGATCTTGTATGGTATCATTAGCTCCTCCCTTTAGATGAAATGTTTGAAGCGCCATGTTATTGAAGTAAAATCCTAAATTTAATAAGTTTCTATTCCTATTTTTTTTACTTCATCTTTTAGAATCACAAATCCACTGATGTAATTATCAAATAAATTTTTAATGATGTCTAATATTAAAATGGTTTACAATGAACCTACCATCATGCTAACTATCCAATTGGAAACATTTGGTATTTCATAGGCGCCGTGATGTCTATTGGGGACCAGTTGTCTGGCACCAACAGGGAGGCAAAAGCTGCGCAGTAGTCTTGTGAAAATCTTCAAAAAGATTAAACAAGGATGTTAATACAATATACAGGTCGCAAAAATGCATTTACTTTAAATACTTATACTGATGTATAATTATGCACAACAATCAACTTCCAAAAAAAATTAAATAAACAATTTACCACATAACAAGAAAAATATAAACCACTTTCTACACCCACAAAATTACAAACTATTTTACAAGCCACAAAAACAACTAGCACTTTCTCAGCCAAGCAGCACATAGACAAACAAACACACTTTTTATGTGAAGAAACTTACCATTGGAATGTATGGAGACCAGTCAATGTATCCAATGTTGTCATGTGCAAGTCTAGCAAATAGGTTGACCAAGCTCTAGGAAACATTCAAGAACCAAAAATATGTGTCATGCTCAATATTTATAATCAGTAATTAAAAAAAATTAATATAAATTTAGAAAACTATTTCAAATTATAAAAAAAATGTTTTTCTTATAAAAAGACTATTTTTTTTCTCATCAATTAATTAGTTGTAAAAGTAGTGTAATTTTAAAATGAACAAATTGTTCTTGATATAAACCAATTACCCAACTATTTAATGCAAATAGTGCTACATTGATATTTAGTGATTAGTTTAAAAAATATTTTTTTTTTTTAAAAAGAACTTACTCCCTCCCACGAAGGCAAACTTTGAAATGATTTCCATAAATCCATGAACTCATCAAACCAAAGCCTGTAACAAATGAAGAGTTGATCAAATTTTTAAAATACTTGACATATAAATAGAATGTGTTGTTTTCTCCCTTGTTAAGTAAGTCAAAATGTGTACTGCTTAAGATTTAAAGTTCAAGTTTGACTTGAATTATCAAGAAGTCAGCAAAAGATGACAGTATGTGAGGACACTAACAGATGATAGTGATGTGTAAATGACAGCACCAGATGATAGTGACATGAGAATGTTATCAGATGATTTTTGATGTGAAGATAATTGCACCAAATAGTGATGTAAGGATGTCAACACCAGGTGATAGTGATGTGAGGATGACATCATCAGATGACAGTGATGTGTGAATGACAACACCATATAACCATGAGACTGGCTTACTCACTTATAGCCTTTGTTATGTAGTTGAGGTGGTAGAGAAGTTGGGAGAAATATTTCTAGACACTGCAAGCCTCCAATGACAGACATATCAAAAGGACACAACCACGGGCGCCATTCATCTAGCATTTCTTGGGTGGCATTCTCATGAAAATATCTAGCAGATAAAAATATCGTATCACATCAAAAATATTTATGGCCATAAATCCTACCCAAACAGTTTATCAGATCTAACTATTTACAAGGTGATCATCAGTTGCTTGGGAAATAGTTTACTTTTGACAAGCAAGCAAGTAAAAGTTAGTCTTTTTAAACATGATGGTACATGGGGCAGATGAAGTAGAGTTAAGCTGCGACCCCAGCATAAGAAAAGACAGTGTGTTCAGCACTATGCCCAGATTCCATTACTTTCCCTAACATGAGTCAGGTATCCTTCAGACCTGAGTGGGCTCTGGGACATCCTACATAAGGAACCAAGCCTGATATCTGAACTCGAGACTTACTGATTAGTAGTCGGACACTCTTACCATCTGACCACACTGTCCTACTTAAGCAAACTCAAGGTAAAATAAATTTCAATGTACAAATCTATTCTATTACAGCTTAATATAAAAGTCAAAATTAATCTAGTAACTAAAACATAATATCAAATTTATTTTACACAAAGTAACCAGTATACTTACGGAGTACAAGCAATTACAGTATTTTTTATGGTGACTTCAAATTTACTGTAAAAATTAGAGAACTAATTTAAAATAATTATTTATAGCTCATTCTCAAATACCTCATAAAATAAAACACTAAATAAATGTATATCAACAGGCTGTCACTTTTATATACTATATTTAAAGTTCACTCACTATATTAATTAACTGATTCCAAAGCAAGCTAAAATTTTAAATATACTTACGCAGGATAAAAGTTGCATTTATCTTTACTGCATTCCTTAACAATTTTATAAAGTGGCTGCCATGGCAATATTAAATCTTCTCGAGACAAAAGACTCTTTTTTCTATAAATTGGTTCAAATAAAAAAAGATTATAACTCTGTGGTAGAGATCTGTTTAGAATACTTTGTATTTAGTCCAAATAAGTAATTCAAAGAATTAGATTGAAAAGTATTAAATATACTCCTTTTTTATGTGTAAATTAATTACTTTTAAATACAGTTTAAATTATGCAACTATGAATAACTTACCGAAGTAAAAGATTAAGGGTCATGGCAAATTTTTCCACAAGAGAAAATTCTTGCAATGGCATAGTAAGTAATTCAAACATGAGTTTTACTAGGAGAATGTGGTCTGTCTTTGAAAATTTGAAGCCATACAATGTAATGTATCTGGAAAAAGTGTTATACACATTAAAAAGAAATCAGAATTTCAATTAAATCAAATTTAGATTTACTGTGAAATGTCACCATCTGATTTTATTACAATTACAGTGCATGAAATGATTATAAGGATAAGGTCTATATCAAAATATGGCAAACTTAATCAACCTTTTTTATTAATCAGATACAGTTGCACCCCTACTAATGAAATAAAAAGCTAATGAAGAAACATACCTTTCTAGTTGAACAATCCAGTGTCGTGTTCCTATTTTTATATCTCGTAATTGAATAGCACGCCCAAGGTTTCCTTTAATTTCACTAAGTATTGCATTTGATTCCTGATCTATTTCATCAGCATATGGTAACGCAGTGCTATATACAGATTCTTTTTGCGGTTGAAACCCAAGGACTGCTTCTCTGCCTTCCATCATGATGGAATCAGAGTCGTCTTCTTCCATGTTTTCTTTTTAATCTACACAGCTGTGGGGGGATAAAATCAATTAATTAATATTGTAAGCAATTGTGAGTAATATTAATAATGTTACTTAACAACTACCTAGGAAAAGATTGTATTTTATTAATTATTATTTTATTATTTTTAATACAAATATGCCTGCTTAATGTTGGGTTCGAGTAGTGTCCTGTGGATATCCAGACCCAGGTCTGAATAGCTGACAAAAAAATGTGTATGAGTGGACTAAAGATAGGCAGAAATGAACACTAAGGAAGCCAGGAAAGTCAGTCAACCTCACTGAGTAAATTTACTAAGTATTTAAAGTTAGTAAATATTTCAATTTAGTAGGTCTAATAAACCAAACTAAGTAACAAGTATTAGTTAGATAACCAATACTAGTCTACTGATGGAAATACTGTCATCTCTCGCTACTTTGCAGTTTGCTGCCTCAGTACAATAGTACATTGCGGATTGTTAAAAAATATTCATAAAAAATTCAAAATTGAAGACTTATGATATGAAAGTTAATTGCATGCCAGCAGAAGGGATATTGAACCCACACAATTCATTCAAAATCCACATCAGTGATTGGCTGGTTTGTATCCTGCTTTTTCCCTTCCGATTTTAGTACATTTTAGTTACATCTACGAGAATGTTACACACACAAGTGCAAGTACCATAATTTATGTTTGTTTTTTATACATTAATATTTAGGCCTACATGTTTGAAACTATATTTTAATGTTCTAATGATAACATACATAATACATATGTATACATACATATATATAGGCCTAGCCGCCTATATATTTCATTTACATCACACTTATTGATATTCATATTACACCTTACAGTTTATAGTTAATAATAGTTTTACTTGATCTTCTAGATACAGTACAGAGCACTAACAGTCACAATACTATTATTATTAATATTACTTTGGACTTTGTCTTTGAAGTATTTCAGTGATTCTAGGCTGTAATAGGCCGATTAAGTTTATTAACCACAACAATTGAGGGATGACTGTAGACGTAGCAGATTGTGAGCTACTTAGCTAATTATTATTATTATTACTTTACCACAGGACAGACAGGTTAGCTTAGGACTTAGAATCTAGATTTCTAGATCTCTAATCTTTAATTAGGGATTTTGGTAAAAAAGCACTAATCATCATATAATAATAAAAATTACATATTCTTGTAGAGCTCAACAAAATGAAAACAAAACAAAAAAGATTTTTTGTCTAGCTCAAATAGTTTTTTTTTTTGCGAATTTTTTTGTGAGGGGTGGAATCCCCTTACTTTTGCATTGGCCAATTGTGACAAGTCATGGTATACCTGAATAAATTGAGCATAGTTATTTTAATTGCAGTTGTATTTTGTTCATATTTGCAGAGTTTAGCTAGAATGATATATAGAACTTGTAAATGTTGTTGAAATGAATAAAAATAATACAGAACTTATACTTTTGTGTTGGCTTCCTCCCATAACCCCAAAAAACTGTGTGCTGCGCAAATATGAAAATGTTTCTAAAGCCATATTTTATATAAATACAGCAAATGAAAGAACTACAAAGTTTGAAATCTAAAGTAAATGACTTGAACACTGTTATGTGCATATAATATTATAATTGCCTCATCATTTTGGGCAGGTGAAGTAGAGTCCATCTTTAAGCCATTTTGTTATAAAACTGCTGCGCAAATATGAAAATGTTTCTAAAGCAATATTTTATATAAATACAGTGAATGTAAGAACTACATAGTTAGAAATCTAAATGACTTGAACACTGTAATGTGTATATAACTGCCTTGTTATTTTGGGCAGGTGAAGTAGAGCCCATATAAGCCATTTTGTAATAATTTAAATGAAGTTATCAGATCAATGTTTTTATGTGTGAATTGTGTATGGATTCTGATTTTCAGCATATAACTATATCTAAGGGTAAGTAGAACTTGAATACTTAAAATTACAGTTAGCACAATGCTAGTGTATAGCAACAGACAGGTAACCTAGATCTAGGTCTGACTCTTGTCAGTCTAGCTAGTCTGACAAAATTGGATTTTAGGAAAAACATTCTGCAAAACTAGAACTAGAGCTGAAAAAATTAAAGATGGGTATGTAAATATATTCTGAAATAAAAAATTAGGAGATTTGTTTGCACATTCCATAAGAATGCTGTTGTTAGTTGATCAAACTTAAAGGCCGGAAGATCGGGATGAAAAAATATAACAATGGTGGCAACGCGACCTACATACAGTGACCACCTCTAAACGAGTATATCTAATGTCAGAGTCAAAATATCCAAAAACAAATATCATTTCCACATATATAAGATATGTCTGCTCAGTAATCTTCACTCATCTAGAATAACCTTTTAAAAAATCGTGATTCCAACGTATTTGAAACTAGCCTTCATACAGGGGGAAGACCAAGGCAGAGACAGCGTGCGATCAGATCGCTAAGCCATCAAAACAATGGGAAAACCATTCTACTTTTCATTTAACATTAGGAAATGACCTTTTAAACTTAATTAATTACCATAAATTAAAAACTTATTAGTATGCAAAACCAAATCTCGTGCGCCCGGTATCAGAAAGTAATGGGCGATTTCGGGTCATGTTTTTACCGCGATCTCGGCCGATACCGACAACCCTACTTTAATCTAGGCTTGGTTGATCTCAACTCATAACTGAAGATTTAGAATTTTTTTTAATCTTGAGAAATACTTCTCCTAAATATTATCTACAGTTAGCCGTATACTATGGTAAGTACAGAAAGTGACTAATAATACTGTTTGCACTTATATTTTATTATAATTAGAAACCTCATTCATTTAGAATTTAATGTTGAAACTTTAAAACGTAGCAGTAACATACTTCAGTTTGTATAAATATTATAAAGACCAAGTCATCCTTACCAGATAATTTTTTTTTAAACTTGCCAAATTTTGAAACTCTAAAACAATACGCTTATTAGGTTTATTTTGTTTTCCTCAATTTTAGTTATGAGCTTAAATACATTTCTAAATCATTTCAAATTATTTTAAATTCAAATGGTATCATATCATTTACATTAATTATTAAAAACGTATAAATGTAACATTAAAATAAGAGGCAGACATTTGGCTTGTATTTTGCAGTATGACAACTATGGGCTCTCTAGAATAAGAATCCAGATAAGTGAAGTCAACAATGTTCGAGCAGAAATGGGGTGGGTTGGGTCGTCATGAATGACGTCACACTATTGAGGGGTGGGGGCTCTGACGGTGTATGAAGGGGTGGGGAAGTGCGGAGGCGTAACAGAGTGGCGTCACGCCTGTGAATTTTATTTTTAAAAGTTATTTTTAAACTAATTTGTAACTTATTTCGCTTTTTAAATTAACAAAATTGTATATAATTAATTTAAGCTAATTTACAGTAGGCCTAATTTATTCATATTGACCTGAAATAGCTAAAAATTCTCTTTATTATTATTAAGAGCACTTTTTTGGCAAAGACAACAGCAAACAATGTAGGTTTATATTGACTAGCATTCTATTGACCACCCCAGGAAGATCCTATTGCCTCACCCAGGAACAAATTTCTTAAAGAAATCCTAACTGAAGTAGGCTTTTATTGTCAACATTTTCTGGCCTGGAAACATCAGTTAGGAAATAAAATAGTATCTTAATTGACTGGGCACTTGAATGAAACCATCTGTCAACAATTCAACATCCATTACAGCTGTTATTTAGAGAATAAAGAGGAACTAAGAATTCAAAGAATTTCTATAAACTTAGTTTTTTCAATACATAAACTGAACTTTATTTTCACAATAATCATGAAACTGTTGTCACCTTACCTTCATAAGTTGTTAAAACACTATTCAAGTGGATGTAGGCAGTAATTATTGCAGTATTGGTTAAAAAAAAAAAAGCATTGTAAAATAGTATCTAAGATAAAAATAGGAACAGCAATAAATACTGTTTCTAAGATAAAAATAGGAACAGCAATAAATACTATAACAGCTAAAAGTTGTAGCACTTCTTTGGTTATAAAAGTAAAAGCCTGTGATATTGACAAGTGAATGTTGTATTAGGGTTCCTAGAGGTGAAGGGGGGGGGGGTTGATGGTTAAGTGACTACATGAGCATCAGTAGCATTTAATTATAATGGTGCATTTTAGCATTGCAGATAAGGATAGGTATGGCAAAGAGCAGCACCAGTTAAAAAAAATTCACCTTTTATAGAAACCAAGGTGCACTTCTGATTATTAAGATATAAGGCATATCAGTGCACTGGTACACTTATGATATCAAATCTTGTTATAATATCAGAGTTTTAGGATTACATCTCATGAGGTTTTGTGGTAGGTACTGCTGGCCTTGTGTGATTTTAACAGCCAGACAAAAATCTGGCACACTTTCCAATTTAAATATAAAAGCAACCAGGTTATTTTGTATCAATCCTTTATTGAAATAATTTTTCATGTATTAAACTTTGCACAGTAAAAGGCTAAATAGTGCTTAACTTACAAGCGTTACAATTCTTCTTTTTAAAAAAAAACAGTTAAAATCTTACAATTCCCACAGTATGCAAATTAAAAATACAAGCAATGACATCCACATTGCAATTTATTATATGTCCATAGCAATTCTCCTGATCAGTTTTTTAAAAAGCTATCTAGTGCATGGTTATAGATGCAGCAGCATAGCTGACCGAGGAGTCATTGGTTGTCTCACATTGGCTGGACTGGGCATACTTCAGGAACTTCACCTCAAATCTTGTCCCATTGCTCTGGCTATTGTAGTGAAGATGCTCGATGGCCTACAAAAAAAAACATGCTTCATTTGAATTTATAATAATTGAAAAAAAAATTCATATTCATTAGTTAACTCTGTTAAAAAAACTCTGATCCAATAAATACAAGCAAAATTTACAATCTCTGAGCTAAATCTGATAAAAAGTCATTTATTATCTTAAGATTCAATAGCAAGAACATGTAAAACAAACAAAAAATGCTTACATTAAGCAAAACACCAATTGGATGGCGGCCACAAATTGTGTTCTGGAAAGTTTGAAGGTATTTAGTAAATGCAGAAGGGTTCATCTTTTCAATAATATCCATTCCCTGTGAACAAAATAATATAGAATTTGAGGTATGAAATGATATTCTTTCCCTGTCTAAAAAAATACATTATAGAATTTGAATTATGAAATGATATTCTTTCCCTGTGTAAAAAAATACATTATAGAATTTGAGGTATGAAATTATATTCTTTCCCTGTGTAAAAAATACATTATAGAATTTGAGGTATGAAATAATATTCTTTGTGTAAAAAATACATTATAGAATTTGAGGTGTACATACAACAAGTACCAAATCTGGCTAAACTAAGCCTAGCTCAAACAGGCCTGATGGATTATAAAAAGAATGACAGCTCTGCAACAAGAACAGCAAATCCAAATTGTTCCCCATACCTCTTGACAAGTTTTTAATTAAGCCTACCCCTAAGTTTCACATATATTAACGTGAGAATAAATTTTTACCATTTTATCCAAGGCTTCAATGGACTGCCATATTTTGCCATGGGACTTTTCATAATATGTGTAGCTAAAGCGTTTACCTAAGCAAGAAGAGATTAAAAAAAAGTTACTTTGCAATAGTTGAAAAATAAATTAATTTTCAAGCTCTTTTTCAACAACAGATTGCCACTAATTTAATAAAAAAATTTACTGTAAAGAAAGAATTTAATTTCACTTGTGTATAACTTAACTTTGACAACTACAATGATCATAACAAAGCTTACCCCAGTGACAAAAGTCTGATGATATGACAAAAAGATTTCCAGGCTCTCTGAGATATGGACTGAGAATTTCGCCGTATTTGGCTTCCTTTTCAGGTGAAAGAGATCCAACTAAAATAGGCACAATGGTGAATTGTCCTTGGCGACTACACAGAAGAATAAAAAAATATTTTGTTACAACTTTTAAAAAACCTGGACATTGCTAGAACATAAGCTATAAACAAAAAAGGTTTCTCTGTGATTTATGGACTGTTTAAGGCAAGGTTTCACAAGATTTAAATTTAACCCTTGTTTTCACAATAATCATAAGGCCTTTATTCTCTTACAAATACAAGGCATGTTGAAAATTATTTGAGTAGTTTTGAGCAAATAACTATTGCAATATTGGTAAAATAAAGCATTTTGTAATGAACGATCTGCTAAGAGTGACAGGGAACACTATACCCACTAGACAACAGCTTGCACCTTTATACTCATCAGTTAGAGCACTATACCCACTAGACAACAGCTTGTACCTTTGTACTCATCAGTTAGTCTATTATAATACGTCTTAGCCATTTAAATATGTGATAGTGTTATAATCTTTCTTGACACACAACCATAAAAATAATAATGCATGCCAGTCTTAACTTAACAAATAATTGTTTTGAGTCTTTGCTGACCTTTCCATAACTTTAGCAATGTATGGGAGATGCATCTCAATGCTATGTTCTGCTTCATCTGTGCTTAGTGACATGCTCTCAAATGCTGAGGTTGCATACAATTCTTTATACACTGGCAAAAAATAATTATTGTGTTAGTTGTTTCAAGTTGGTGTTGGGTGGGATTTTATGTGTCACATTTACAACTGTTGTGTTTTAATATTGACATAATGCAACTTATCATGGTGTAGTGTTGCTTATTTAAACTTATAAGGGTAAACTGCAACTCTTCACAGTGTAATGTTGCTGTAATGTAAATTCAGAGTATAATGTTTCTGTAATGCAACTATTCAGAGTATAATGTTTCTGTAATGCAACTATTCAGGGTATAATGTTTCTGAAATGTAAATTCAGAGTATAATGTTTCTGTAATGCAACTATTCAGGGTTTATGTTTTTGTAATGTAACTCTTCTGTGTGTAATGTAGCTGCAATGTAACTATTCACGGTGTAATATTACTTTAATGTAAATTCAGAGTGTAGTGTAACTGTAATTCTTCTGTGTGCAATGTTGATATAACTGTTCAGGGTGTAATGTAACTCTTCTGTGCGTAATGTTTCTGTAATGTAACTCTAGGGATCAATGTTGCTGTATGGTAACTTACCTCCTTTGTCTATAGTCAAATTGTAGAGAGGTGTTTCATACAGGTCTGTACCAGAGAGTGCACAGCCTGATAGGCGCACATGGTGGGAGGGGCCTAGGATGAAAACCCTTTTGCTGAAAGTCAGAACAGAACTTAATTCCTAAACTGGAACAGACTGCTCATGCTGGTATCAAAAGGAAAATAAACAATACAACAGAACGCTTGAAAACCAACATTTTACAATTTTTTTTTATCAACATAGAATCTTCAGTAACATTAAAAAAATAAATAATAAAATTACTTCTCTACTTCCAAAGCAATTTAGTAAAGTACCCTTTCAAACCTTATCATCCATGAGGCAGGTGAAGTAGTGTTCACTTGTTTCAGTGACCTCAGCATTTACAAAGGAAAGTGTGATCAGCACTTTGCCCAGCCAAATTTTCTTTCCATAATGTGAGTCAGGTACCCAGCAGAACTGGGTAGACTCAGGAAAGTCCTACAGACTCAAGCAGGAGTTCTGAACTCTATACATTTGGGTTAGCAGTCGAATGCTCTACCATTCCTTTTTAGTACTATAAATTCTACTTTCTTGTGTGAGTATAAAAAATGGGCATGCACATTATACTTATACTGGAGCAAAACTATTTTGACCATCACAATACAACCAACTTGACCATAACCCTCATTGTTTTGATTTGTTACATATGAAGAAGAAAGAAACAGAGACAACATATGATGCTGAAAAGCTAATTTTAAAAAACTTACACTGTGTTAGGGTCAACCTGACGATATGCAAATGCCCCACACGCCCCACAGAAATAGTAACCAGCATGGCTGAAATGTTAAAGAACTGTTGCTTAGGTCAGACAGACAACCAGTCTACAACATAAGTGCCTTTGTATAACAGCACAGATTTGAAACTGGATATTTTTTTCTGCCAAAAAATTAGCATTTTAATTTAAGGACTTATTCAGATTTTGTGTACTGAGATTATCATAGACAACAGGTATATCAAACAAAAAAATACTGGCTGAAGAGATATCCCTAAAAATATCTATGCAACAGATGTGTAGTAAAAATTAAGTCTTTTATTTAAAATGTAACTACATATAAAATAACAAGCTTTAAAAAATTTTCCACAAGTAAAATAACATACTTACGGAGCAATAATTGCCTTGGCTGGTTTAAATGAATCAGATGCTTTTGAAAGCCAATTGTCCAGCTGCATGTTAAGCTCTGACCCTGCATAAAATTAATTACAGTAAATTAAAAAAAGAAACTATAGGCCCTACTGTTTAAATTTAAATAAATTTGGTCAACTAACAATTAGTAAAATGGCTAAGTGACAACTTCATGATCTAGTGCAGGGGTCTCCAAACTTTTCAGTCCGAGGGCCGCATTAACTATCAAATTTCAGTTCGGGGGCCAATTTCTTCCAGGCATGTCTTTGATTTTTCTAAGCAAAGTTCCTCAACCATCACTAACAAACGATTTTTCCTTGGACGAAAAGATCTCCGCGGGCCGGATGAGAGGACTTCGCGGGCCGCATCCGGCCCGCGGGCCGTAGTTTGGAGACCCCTGATCTAGTGTAATGAAACATGAAAGTCAAAATTTACTGTAAGTAAAATCTAAGGCTGGAACTAATCAGCAGTAAAAGTATCTAACCTACCAGAGTCAGAATACCAGCTTCCTGCGTGACTTGCCTTTCTGATTTTGTTGGTTGACATCTTCGTACCAATTTTTAAGGTTAGATCACCTCTAATTTAAAGCTTTTAATCTAGGATTTAAAAAAAGAATTAATTAAAATGTGACCCTCTTTTGTAACAGTTTATGTGTAGAAAACATCAGTTAAAGAAAAATCAATTTCAAAGCAAAAGGTTATGATGGGGGGGGGGGGGGGGGGGAGTGATTAACAAACTTTTGAGGTGATGCATGCTGAAGGGAGGAGTTGAGAAAGTGGGAAACATAAATATTTTTTTTGAATACTGCATTTTAAATTTGAATTTGTTTAGTCCTCGCTAGTAGCTAAAAGTCAGAAGTGTCCAAGTTTAGTACTTCAGTTTAGAGCGACCTAGTCTGAGTTTAGTTACCAGTTGGTTTGAGTCTTATTTAGTAGTTTAAACTGTGAGAATCAAATCTGTGAAACAACAAAGCTATTTGCTGCCTATCTTAGCCTGGACATAAGAAAACAAAAACTGTTTCTCCTTAGGGGTCATCCATAAGTTAAGTCATGTTTTTTTGCAAATTTTTACCTCCCAACAGAAAGTTTTTTTTTTACTTAAAACTGCATTTTTTTTACTACAATATTAACTCAGCTGGATCAGAATTAGATATACAGACACATCTTTATTACAATTTACAAAAAGTAGCCAAAATTTACAAAGTCTAGTCAAAAATACATAATAACTGCAAAAAATTCAGTTTAGAAAATTGCATAGAGGTTGCTTTACTCTCCCTTGGCCCATCCCCCACAAATTCAACAAAAGTCTAATTTTTTTTGCGTTTATCAATTAGAAAACAAAATAAACATCAGCTGTGAAACAAAACAGGTATATGTTATATCAGTGTCCAATGATGCCACAACAAAGGAATCTTCTTACAAATTGGTATTAGATTAATAGTAGTTAAATAAGTAGCATACACATATGACTTGTTAATGTCAACAGAGTAACACTAACCCTATCCCTACACAACCTTAACTGTGCCTAACCCATAGCCTTAACTTCCAACCACAAATCTAAAACTAAATCTGAGGTTATAATATGGTCAGTCAGCTGTAATACAAATACTTCACAAAACCAAAAAATTAAATTTTAAACACCTCTGATGTGGGTCTGCCAAATAAATGAGATGTTGAAAAATTGAGTCAAATTATGAGCATGAGAGAATGATTGAGGCTGTGGATACAGATATTAGACTCTTCAAATAAAAAAAAATATGCATGCTATGTTAGTAGTTTTATAATCTTAACAAGTTTTATTGTTAGATACTAATTAAGGTTAGGCGAATGGTAGGACTAGGGTTGGGGTTGTTAGCATTAATATTAATATTTATATTAGCAGGCGTGTATTTAATTAAAAATTAGTTAACTAAAAGTAACCTAACACCCTTTTTAAAAAGATTCCATTCTATCCTATTATTAATTATGAGCCGACCCGCTGGCGTATCATACGCCGCTATTTAGTTGTTTTATTTTCTACTTTTCAGTAATTCATAATTTGTGAATTCGACAGTACCATCCCCCTTTCTCCCTACCTCCCCCCGTGAAAGCAGCCTTCTCTTAGTTACCTCCCCTAAGTTTAAAATCGTTTCAAACTAAGTTATCTGCCCCTAATAGCCGTCACTAAACCCGGCTCTACGATTGTAAACATTTAGCGTGAACTACAGCTCACCAGACCATGTGGGGGTGGGGGTGGTAGTGATATGCTTAGAGAGGAAGAGATGGGGTTGCGAGGCGCGCTTACAGCTTGGTATTTTCTAGGGTATCCAAGAAGAGAATTATATAGATCTATATAGATTGTTATTATCAGACAGTTTCTTTCTAGATCTAGATTTTAGCCTCATTTTAGGCGAGTACTTTAGACTTTAGACACAATAATGACAATAATTTTAGTAAAAAAATCCGCCAGTGGTTTTGAGTAGCCTATTACTATTTTCATTTTAAAAATTTCATAAAAAAAGTTTTAATAACAAGCTTTTATTTAATGATGCACTAAAAAGTAGAAAATAAATTATACACTACTATTTAAATTACTATAAAGAAAAGCGTGGGTCACTTTAGTATCTATTGGATACCTTTACTAATATTTGAGAAGAGACCCACGCTTTTCTTTATAGTAATTTAAATAGTAGTGTATAATTTATTTTCTACTTTTTAGTGCATCATTACATAAAAGCTTGTTATTAAAACGTTTTTTATGAAAAAAATTTTCAGTAGGCTACTTAAACTTTACATGTTTTATTTACAATAGTGTTACATGACTAAAAAACCATTGCGCCTCTATTGAACGTGATGGCGCAGCTATTAAACCTGATGACGCAGCTATTGAACGTGATGGCGCGTGTGGTGTGGTTGGATAGACATGCCTACTAATTCTGTCCAAATTTTAATTAGGGCCTAATTCATAAAAAATTAATTAGGCATCCAATTAAGTCAAATTTAATTTCAGATTGCATTGTCTTCATGTCTTGACCCACGTGTCAAATGTGAATCGTATTGGTCAAGTAGAAGTGTCCGAATTTTCATTCCTGTGTTTCGATCTAGACTGACGACAGAGGAAGTGAGTTAAATAAAAGCTTGTAAAATAAAAATAGACCTACTTGTGTGATGCCTAGACCAGAATCAAACCATCCAGTGTCAGCAACTTGGTAATGCGTAAAATTTAATAAAAGTAGTAGATCTAGTACTACTATACTTAACTATACACTACTATAGGCCTAGTCACTGTAGACAGTTTTTACTTTTGAGTACTTGAGCAACTCAGTAGATTACTACTAGATATACTAGAATATAGATCTAACTCAACTGACAACAGATCTAGATTTTCTAGTTCTAACACTTGATTAGAACAAATGTGAATGTGGGTAGAGTAGAATCACCACTTGATCAAGATCTAGATCTAGATAATATTTTAATTTAAGGAATCACTGATTTAAAGATATCACTGAGAGTGACTAAGAGACATTTTCTTTATCCAAACTTTTTTTCCCTGTACTAACAATTAATTTAGGTTACTCTAAACACCAAACAATTTCGTTTATGACCTAACGGCTAACACAGGGGTCGGCAACCCACAGCGCGCGAGCCGCATGCGGCTCCGTTGATATCAAGATGCGGCTCTCGCTCCATGTACAAATATTAATAATTATATTATTATTTTATTTTCAAAACTCATAACAAATATTTACTGTAAAGAAACAACTTTAAACGTGATGAAAACACTAATCATAGAACAGTGAGAACAGGTGAGGTAGAAAGCATACGGACAGCTGACAGCCGCTTGGGCACCAGACGCAGTCAGAGTTTCTTCCAGGCATCTCCCCCGAAATTTTTTTACCGCCGCCCCCCCCCCCCCGAACGAAATGAAATTTATATAATTTATATAGAAAATATATACTTTTAACAGTGTCCCCCCCCCCCCGAAGAAAGTTTACCCCCCCCCCCCCCCCGAAGATTTCATGTGCCCCCCCCCCCCCGGAGAAAAAAGTCTGGAAGAAACACTGGACCCAGCTCGGGCAGATGAGGCTCGTTAGCTGGGGACAGCCACTCTTCTAGGAGAGACAACTCCAAAATTAAACAACTACTGCCTTGTAGTTTGTTCTTGGTTGGACAAAGGCTATGGAAGCAAATCCAAAAAGAAAAGCAGGCTGAAATCGGAGTCAATGGCCTCAATGGCGCAAAACCAGTTGACACGTAACGCTTAATTGTGTTGGAGGCGTGGTCAAGTCGGCAAAATCTCATGGTTGATAGATTCGAACAGTCTCGAGTTCAAACCCACTGGCAGATAAATCTCGATCCCCTTCAACACTAATAATTAAGAACGAAGAAGAAGAAGAAGAAGAAGACTGGACCCAGTCCTACAGCCGTGCTGTAGACAGCCCCGTGTCAATATTCCATGTTTGCCACTGCCCAAGTTCCAACTTTTTTAAACGTCTTTAAATGGGGAATTTTATTTTATATAGAATGCATATCTCTATCTGTCAGTATGCATTAATTTGACCTGAGAGACGTCGTTTTATATGTATTAGTTTCCTGCTGTTGAACCGGGTACTGGGCGGTGGGATACGAGTTTACCCTGCGTTCGGTGGGGGTTGAAGATAAGCCTGGTGAGAACCGAAGGACAGAACTTACAGAAGGGACCGATACGCTAATCAAACCTATATACAAGCCAGTTGATCGAAGTGTGCCGTGTTGACAATGAAGTCCGTAAAGAAAAAAAAAATTAACAGCTTCTAAAGTGGATTGGGATAGTCCTATGTTTATATTATTTGATTACTAAGTTTATGATAGAAGAGCTAGCTAAAATAATTTAAATGTTTTGTGCGAAACATGTGTATGTTGTTATATGGATAAATATTATTTTATATTTAAAATTATTTACTTTTAATAAAAAATTAAAAATTAAAACTAGTTCTATTATTGAAATAATAAAAAGGGAGTGATCTCCCCTAAACTTTCTCGAATATTCTTATATAATATATAACACTACGGGGGATGGTAACTCAGAGATATACACATGATTTTTAATTACTTTAAATTTTAAAAATAGAATAGAAGCTCGTAGTAAAAGTGAACACCAAATAATATGTTTGTAATAATTCGGAAAATTATTAGTACTTTATAAATTTACTTGCGTCTTTTGAGAAATCGGAAATAAGCGTAGATTACATATTCCGATCACAGTTTCTTCCATGCATCTCTTCGGTAGGGGGGGGGGGGCGAACCCCCCCCCCCCCCCCCCGAAAAAATTCTACCGCCCCCCCCCCCCCCCGAACGAAATGAAATTTATATAATTTATATAGAAAATATATACTTTTAACAGTGTCCGCCCCCCCCCCCCGAAAATTTCAAGTGCCCCCTGTGACGGTAAAACCGTTTAGGCCTAGCTCCACGTTATTCTTACACCACCCCTTACCTGCTCTATACTTCCCCCCCCCCCCCCCCCTCTATACAACTACGTACATTCCTATCTTTCGTCCCCCTCGCAGGCCCCTCTCTAGTTGGCTAGTTTGTCCACGTGACACACCGCCAATGTAAAGGCATATAAGGGGATGCAACAAAGGGATTCTCGCACTTTTCCAGCACTGAGCTCAGCTGGTGGTGTCGCACGCGGCGTTGGGGCCGTCGGCCCGACCTCCACGTGTTTCGGGTTTGGTTTTACTTAATTATTTCTTATTTTCACTTTACCAGTTTTGATATACATATTTGATTACCATTGTAACAAGTAGTTCAATAAATATCTTATATATTATCTTGCTGTTATGTATTATTACTTACATTCTGTTACTGTACACGGTTACCCTGTTCGTGGCTTAGTCCATGTGACAGTTGATAACTTACTGATTTACGTAACTAAACTTTACACTGTCCGTGTCTTAGCACACAGGGCATTTGAATACTTATTTGACCTAAACTATTCCTGCCTGTGACGTAATTCCACGTGGCAGTTGAGTAGACATTTCAGTTACCTTTTTTACTACTTTTATCCTGCACGTGTATCAGCCACGGAGCAGTAGATATTATATTATACACAGCCTCATTCTATTTTACTACAGGCCGTAAACTGCGGGCATTGAGTTGACCCGTAGTCATCGGACCTGCTATTTTATTTTATTCACCGGCCGTAAACCCTTGCCAGAGACAAGAGGTCATCGGACCTGGTAAAACCCATTATTATTCTAATAAGGCTGTAAACTCTGGGCATTGAATTGACCCTTAGTCATCAGACCTTAATGATATTACCTCTAGTTATACAATACTAGAATCTATATTCCCGGTAAAGAAGCGGCGCAGACCTTCTTACCGGTTGAATACCAGCATTTCACTGATTTTACTATTAATTATATCTATTATACGGTACCAAATATTTATCGTTTACCGTTAACATTGGGGCTCGTCAAACTAAATACTAGACACGCGTTAGCCACTCGTATTTGAATAAATCCTGCTGTTTTCACACATTTGAATTTTACTGCTGTTGTTTACTTTGAATTTTCAGAAAAAATATTTCTGTGTGTTATTGCTACCTGTTCAAGAAGTATTCTGTACAACTGACGGCTGCACAAGAAGGGCAAGACCACTGGAATTGTAGCTAAGTGTCAAGTTTTAGCTTTTGACTCTGACTTACTACGTTGATTCCTTTAGTTTTAATTTTAAAACTGGTCTCCAATTCTTGTAGTTACCTTAGTAGTCTATTATTTGTAGAATAGGCCTACTTCTGTTAGTCTGTCAAATACTTTTCTCTTAGTTACTTGGTGTTATTGTTAAGCGTAACCCGGTACACGGCTTGAGCACACGCGTGTCACGTTACCCGTGTCAACGTCCTAGCCAGGCTGCATAATGAGTGGCTCCACTAGCATCCCCGCCCTTATCAGGTACGCCATTGACTTTGGCTACGAAGGGGCGGCACTCAGTGCATTTGTTAAACAAAGATACCAAGAGAATTTAGAAGACTTACATGAAGAAGAGGAACGAAGAAAACAAAGATACCAAGAAAATTTAGAAGACTTACACGAAGAAGAGGAACGAAGAAGATTAGACGAAGAAGAACGATTAAATGAACTGCAGTGGGAGGAAGAAATTAAATTAAAAGAGAGAAAATGGGCTATAGAGGCCAGGTTCTATGAATTTGAACGATCGGAATGGGGTAGTATCGAAACAATAGAAAAACAAGAAGACGAAATGTTAAAAGGTACCAGCATATCAATAGCTGAGAGAATTATTATTTTTAAGGAACGAATAAGAAGAATGACCGAAATGAAAGCACGATTGAAGATAGCCGAGCAGGCAATGCTTGAGCAGCTGAAAAACATGACCATAGAACCTAAACCAACACCCGCTATTACACCCGACACACCAACCCTACCAGATATTCAGAATCATGATGCTACACTTAGCCATAAAAGAGACTTAATTAAAATTACTTCCCCTGCCCCGACTGAATCATCAATAAACACAACACCGGATGCTCCGGTCGACCTTAATTACACAGCACGTCAAGAGCCGAGGAGACAAAACAACAAACCAACCACTGTCAGCCTTATCGGCCCCATGGTTCTACCCACCATAGGCCTACATACTAAACCTTACCAGCCCCTCGCTAATGGAAAAAAATTCGCCGACGAGAGAAGAATCGCTCTGGGTCCAAAACCCCGCCCACCTACACACACCTTGATGAAAGAATGGTCCAAGGACACCGGCCTAAGTTATTGGGAGACGTGCCGCCTGCACTATAGCTGTTGTGCCGTGGTCTACCCATCTCTCATTACTGGCGCTTCACCTTCTGCCACCCACCCCATACTGAGTTTTGACAAGTCACTAAGCATAACTTAGCTAGTTAGACTTAGGGTGGAATTTCTTAGTAAGTCATGGTCGATTGCCTGAACTTAGCTCAAATCCAGCCTTGCACTTAATTGATGCAAGCTGCACAGTTAAATAATAATGAAGCTATTTTATGACTTACTTTGATATATGTTGTATACACAAGCATTGCTAAAAAAAAAAAAAAAAATTCTATGGGCATTTATCATTGTCATATCTTATGTAATCATAACTTCATATCTATGCATAAATTTGTTGGTTTCCCTTGTTCTTGCAGTATTTTTCACAGGTTTCCACTGACTTCTTAGACCTGGTTGTCATACTTCTAAAACAGAACTTGGCGTTAGTTAATTTCCTGAATACAATGTAAACTTATACTGAACAAAAAAATGTCATTATTCACCGTTGTCTTA